CTGAACAAAAAATGGCTTTTTTTGTTTCTGTTTAGCTGGAGAACATTGGGAATTTTATCAAAGCCATTCAAGTCTACGGCATGAAGCCACATGATATTTTTGAAGCAAATGATCTTTTTGAAAATGGGAACATGACTCAAGTACAGACTACTCTCGTGGCATTAGCAGGTCTGGTAAGTATTTGTACCCCAGGCATTGGTAGAAATCCACATGCCAGTCAAGATACTCTCTTGCCACTCATTTAAATACAGAAAACAGCATCCAGCCTATCAGGAGGGGATACATACTATCTACTAGATAGTTGCTCTTGAGATGGCTGTGTCTTCATTCCTTCAGCAAAGGCTGAAATTATGTTTCTTCAGGGAGACCTTATAGTGGCCTTCCAGTAACCTAAAGGGGGCATACAGGAAAGCTGGGGGACTCTGTCAGGGAGTGTAGTCAAAGTACAAGGAGTAATGGCTTTAAACTGAAACAGGGTAGGTTTAGACTAGATATAAGGAAGAAATTCTTCACTCAGGGTGGTGAGGCACTGGAACAGGCTGCCCGGAGCAGCTGTAAATGCCCCATCCTGGGAAGTGCTCAAGGCCAGACTGGATGGGGCTGTGAGCAACCTCGTCTGGTGGGAAGTGTCCCTGCCCACGGCAGGGTGGGTTTTAAGGCCCCTTCCAACCCCAACCATTCTATGTTCCTTGACTGCAGATACACAGAACCAGGGAATATCACAAGAGAACATTAATGCCTGCAGATTGTCCTTCCCACTCTTACAAAAGATACTTAGATAGCTTGGGAGTGCCACCTTCAAATGGTGATGGAAACTGTTATCTCCTCCCACCCACAATATAGGGAGTTTCTCATACAAGTTAATCCTGCTTGTGGCATCATTTGAGAGACCAGAGGATCAGGTACAGAGGCAGCCTGCCTTTCAGCCTAGGTCCCTGTATAATAGTAGCAATTTAAGTAGCAGAAACTATACTTTTAATGCATATTTCAAGTAGCAGAAACTATACTTAATACTAAATACTCCTATTTTCCTTCCCCCCTAAATAGGCAAAAACCAAAGGTTTTCATACTACAATTGATATTGGTGTCAAATATGCAGAGAAACAAGCACGAAGTTTTGATGCAGGAAAACTAAAAGCTGGTCAAAGTGTAATTGGCCTGCAGGTAAGTAAGAAATTCATGTTTGCAGATACTCTTAACAACTTTCTTGTTTTGATTAACTGATTTATTCTGTACGCAAAATAAAAAAAAAATAAAAAAGCTGCAGTTAGAATATGTTCTTATCATGGAAGGAGGTGTGAGGTTTTAATTCCTGTAAGCAGTTGATTGCCGATTGCCTTTCTACGCTCATGTGACTGTCTGGAAGGTTTTTCCGCTTGTTCTAGATCTGCACTAAGGGTAATGAAAAGAGTAGCTAATATTATCAGTATTATCTCTGTCCCTGACAGCAGCTTTAAAATTAGTAGGAGTCTTTGGATATCAAAAGCTCCTTATATGGTAGAAGATTTTTTTTCTCCCCCCTCTCTCTCTCCACTTTCCATAATAGTCATAAAACCCAAAATAACTGACATAAAATCCTAAAATTCCTGTGGTAAACAAGTTGTGGCAGTGAAATTGAATCTCTACTGTCCAGAGTAGAAGCCGATTATTATATTTTGAAGCATACATTCATTTCTAACTGCATATGCAGTTGGGCAAATGCCAGTCACTGAAACGCGTTAGGAGGACAGTTGCTTTATTTTACCTTTTGAAGCTCAGTATGGAGAAAGGGTAACTTATTACAGGTAGCGGTCAAGCTACATGAGAAAAGCATGCATTGAAATTACTTTTTCAGTCAGCCATCGATTACCAACTGTATGTTTCCTTACAATGGTGCTTGCTGTACAAATAGATCTCTTACTCTGTCTACCTCTTCCTTCTCCCCATAAAGATGGGCACCAATAAGTGCGCCAGTCAGGCGGGCATGACTGCTTATGGCACTAGACGACACCTCTATGATCCAAAAATGCAAACTGACAAGCCATTTGACCAGACAACGATTAGCCTACAGATGGGCACTAACAAAGGAGCCAGTCAGGTAAGGAGGACTGCGTGTGGTATTTGTAGAACAGACAGAGCTCCCAGCCTGGGAGAGTCTGCAGGATGGGCAAGTGAGTTCTGTGGAGTAATTTAAGAACTTCAGTTTCTTATCCTTAACCAGTGTGTTCTGTGCTGAAAAATCTTCAAGCATAAAGGTGACCTGGCGCTTTTAGAATTTTCCACTGGCTGTGTTGTATCAGGAGAAAGCAGTAACTTCATTTCCAGTACTAACTAGACAGACACAAAAAAGAAATTACTTCCTGGGCACTACCTCAGTTCAAACAGTGTATTCTTTCCAAAGGGAAAAGTCCCTTTCAGCAGGGACTTTCTTCCTAGACTTGCTTACTAGTGAACGCATGTGCTGTTCTGTTGTACTTAACTTTGTACTTTCTAGCACTTCCAGTAAGTCATGCAAGTTGTAATCATAAACCCTGTAACCGCAGCTCTTGACCTTCTTATTGAACCTCTACAATCCTGTTTCACTAGGCTGGTATGCTGGCACCAGGTACCAGAAGAGACATCTACGATCAGAAGCACATACTGCAACCTGTGGATAACTCAACTATTTCATTACAAATGGGTACCAACAAAGTAGCTTCACAGAAGGGAATGAGTGTGTATGGGCTTGGACGGCAAGTGTACGACCCCAAGTACTGTGCTGCACCCACAGAACCTGTCATTCATAATGGCAGCCAAGGAACAGGAACTAATGGGTCTGAAATCAGCGATAGCGATTATCAGGCAGAATACCCAGATGACTATCATGGAGAGTACCAAGATGACTATCAAAGAGATTACCATGGTCAGTACAGTGACCAAGGCATTGATTATTAGATTTGCATCAAAAGTTCAGTATTAGTCCATTATTTTATTCAGTAAGAACGAAACTAGCCTTGTGGAATTGTTACCTGTCTTTCCTACACACTATGCTTAATGTACCTAAAGAAATACTGCCTTACGTACATTCCTTTCTCCTTTCTCTGCCCTTTCCCTGTCTAGTTGCCTTTAGTGCTGTAACAGTTGTAGTCTACAGCATAAACAATAATTGCATATGAAGTAAAAAGGAATACTGTGAAAGGGGGAGTGCTCTCGTACAGCCAGGCCTTCTAATAAGAAGCTATGCATTTTCACAATCTACTCAAGTAGGTTTACATACCACATTAAGCCTTCATTTGACATATTTACAGCTTTTCTGTTTTCCAGATGAGATAAAAGAATTTAATGCTTAAAATTAAATACGGTCTCTGCCAATTAAGTTTAAGACATCACACTAGTGATTTAAATATCATTACTATGTTTCTACGGTATTGTTTGCTAATGGTAAGTCCTGCATTAGACATAAGTGTGCATTTGTGATCGTGTATTCATTCCATTATCTACACTGACCAAACTCATAGAAATAGTTGTCTTACTAAAAAGGGAGCTTGTACAAAGTCTTGAGCCAACAGAAGTCCATGTTTGATGGTGCATTTACCTTTTATTGTGCCATAATATATCCATGTAGAAATGCTTTTTCTTCCTTGAACTGTATTTATTGCCACTTCTCAAACTGATCCCAGTGTATTTTTATAAATAAATATTTTTTCTTAAAGGTATGTAGAAGATTCTGCCTCATTTGTTATCCTACCATTATTAAAGAATAGATGGCAAAAATTATTCCCAAATCACCATTACCCTTGCCTCTGTTAAGGGCAATGTAAAACTGCTGTCTGTTGCAGTTAAGTTCTTCATTTTCCATGGGATTTAATCTAACAACCTTGTAAAAATCTCTTGTGAGTGAGTGACAGTGACTTAACAGGAAAGGAATGTAGCTCCTTTACAGCAGAGTTCAGTTCCCCTCTACGTTACTGTGAGATTAAAACCAAAGATCCTTAGATGTTCGCTAAATCCCTGCTCTTCTTTCAAGGCAAATGAAGAACTGCAGATACTTAACACTAACTCTAATTCAGCCTATAACCTTCTTTCATACCATCATTTTGAGAAATTAAAAGACACTTGCTTTAAAATGTGAAATGAGATATCCAGATCTTCATTTCCGCTGATCTGCAGTCTGAATTCTTTAGAAATAAAGCTCTGATAATAGTAACTAAATTGAAAACATTTTTGTCCTTGCCATAAAATACAGATAGGCTGTACTAATTTACCTGGGCTCCTTGCAACAGGAGAAAAAAGAGGCTTCTATCAAGGGCAGGGGGAATTTCACTAGTCATAAATTCTGTGAATAACAGAAGGTATTTTAACATGTAAGTTTGGGACTTGTAAGAGATTCTTCCCTCAAGACAAAATTTTGTGCTTTGCTCCATTAAGTTTATTTTCAGGTGTGGTGACTTTACTTTCAACTGACTTATTTGATGAGTAAGCGTTAAGCTTATTTATTTAATATAATTTACATTAGGAAGGACCTCTGGAGGTCATTGGTCCAAGCCCTGCATGTAGGGCAAGAGAATTACCAAGATGTCAGTTCAGACCTGCTTTTCCTACCTATACTGTACTTCCCCCCTTCAAGATAATAGCATTTAACAATTTAGAACTAGGTTATTAAATGCTGAAAAGCAGTGCTGTGATTGACAACAAAAGCTTTGCTATTTTCATAGTTTGGGTGAAGTTAGGATCTCTTTTGAAAGCCTGACCCATGCCTTCCTGCTATTTCTGATGCCCAAATTGATGTGTTAAACCGCTTGCACATATTTATTATGTATGTACTTGAAAGGAGGCCCAAAACAATATGCAAATTGTTCTCAGCACACCTGTTCCTTTCATGCACAGAGGTACACAATGGAATCATAACTAAATTGAGTTTGAAGAAGACACCAAGCAAGACTAGATACAAAACTTCATTGCTTAAAACAAAAAACTGTAATACGTAGCTATTTTCCAGTATGCAGAAACACCATCTAATAGTCCCCATCTCTCTCTCTCTCTTTTTTTTTTTTTTTTTTTTTAAGGGAAGTAATTTCAAAAGTACCTTCCATTCCTCGGAATCCAGTCTTCTGTAGGCGCAGGAAATAGCATCAGTCAGTCTAGAAGGGTCCATGTGCTGTTGGGCTGCCTTGTGGGGCAGACATTACAAACACCAGAATTGACTTGGACAAGTACCAGTACACACAGTAGTACTAACTACACTTCTCACGAGCTCTGCCTGCCTTCCTACACCCACCCCTGCACCTACTCCAGCCTGCTTTACAGTTGCCTGACTAGGTATCCTGCAGGGGAGGACAGCAGTAACAAGCGCTAAATAGCATCAGCTTCCCTGCGGGTGCTTTATGCTTTTTACTCAGGTGAAGATCCTTGCAACATTTGGAGGCTGTTGACATAATTACTAGAAGAATGTATATGATTAGGAAGTCTTGTGTTGCACCTGAAAGCTATAAAGCTATGCTTTCTGTACAAAATATAGTTAAAAGGTAAACATTCTGAACTGTTCTGTAAAATTATACCTGACTGAAAACATTCTGTTGTCACAGTTGTAACTTCTGGACTACAGGCAGTACAGCACTGCTTAAATGAAACACACTCAAGTACAGTTTAACTGTGATTTTCAATAATTTCCTTCTTTGAAATACACACCAAACTTCCTAGTAAGCATCTAAAAGTCCTTTCTCCATGCAGTAACTGCACTGAAGGCCATGATACTGAATCATAATTGCAATGAACATAACCACAGAATTATTGAGACTGAAAGGTACCCCTGGAAGTTATCTAGAAAGTGTCCAGCATAAGGACTGTCTGAAAATGGAGATACATTTCTTGAAATGTCCCTTCCTTTCTTCCACCACTCAGTTGAGTTCCGAGTCAAGGGCCAAAACATGCAGTGTGAGTATCAAATACAAACTGGGGAAAAAATAATGCACAGTAACTGATTTTTCTAACTTCCAAGGCAACCTACTATGCTTTGTAAATTGCGAAACATCATTTTTACATTGTGCAGACGCTATAATTTTCAAACAATCTTACTGAAACCTGTGGAAGAGGATAGAATTTTTCCCTCTGTAAGTACTATATCTGCACACTTTCTCAATATTAAAGTGCTATTGCTTATTCAGTGTAATTTTCAGTTGCCACAGCATCCACAAACAAGCACCAGAAGTACCCAAGTGTATAGTTTAAAATAATGATGAGGTAGTGAGTCACAGCCAAGCAGATCAGCAACCTCACCTGCCAGCCAGAAAGCAATTAATCTTTCTTTTTCTTTCCCATCATCCATCCCTTATCCTTCCACTTCTTGAAGTGGCTCATATTAAAGTAGACAGGTTATTTAAACGAGGAATAAGCAGCCACTATTTCTGAGCATCCCCGGGCAAATAACTAGTCTCCTTTCAGCAGCAGATCAGATAACAGCATTCAGATGAAAATAGATTTGGCATTCTGACCATCAATGAGCTTTACTATTCTGTACATGTATGTCACTTCCAAGCTGTGACTAATCAGAGGTTTAGCAATATATTCTACGGGTCTTATTCGTTACAGCAGTTTCAGTCACTTAACTTGCAGTAATGTCTTGCTTCCTGATGTGCTTGAGGTGTAGCATACTGAAATCCCTACCTAGTTGGAGTCATCTTCCCACCTCAAACCTCTCTTCAAAGAGAGAAAGAATAAAATCACCTTGCACTAAATAAAATCTAAAACTAACCCCATACCCAGAACAAGGTGGACCGTGAAAGTGTTTTATAAACAGTCCAAGTATGAAGTTTAAACAGACCTCAAATCTGCTCACAAGAAAACGGTTTTTCTTCTTAAACTGCATCTAAACTTACCTTCTTTCCCTCTTCTGATTTAAAGCCCTGTCAGTCACCTCTACATTCCTCCATGATACTGTGTATTTCATATCCATGTTTCAACTAACACTTATTCATAAATTATTATTTATGTTATCCTTTTATCTCATTTCTGTTCAGCCACCACTTCTTTGTCAAGCTTTAAATCCAGCTACAATTTGTATTTGCTTTGTCTTTTCAATTGCAAAGAAAAGGTAGTTGTTTATTTACACACACAAAAAAGCCATTCCTCATCTGCCCTTTGAAGAGGAGCCAGTGGATGGTTTATGACACTGACTTGTGAAGACCATTCCCAATAGAGTCTAATTACAACAATGACAGGTACCTCATAACTATTAATTATCTTGACTACAGAGAGTTTCCATCAATGAGCTCAGTGCCATTCCTTAATTGGATGCACTGTCTGTTCAGATATACTGAATAAATCAGGAAACAACTGGAGTGCTCCTCTGCAAATGTTTCTACATTTTCTGATCCAGGCACAACCAGCCCAAAGAAGCATGATAAGAAAAAAAAAACAAACAAACACATGTTGAATGACATGCTACAAAGGTAAAAAGGACAGCTCTATGACCTTGTAAACTCAGTATTTTTAGCTAAAGGACATAGAAATTTATGAGGAATTTGTTTATTAACAACTTTCATAGACTATCATAACAAGTCTATTAATAAAAATAAGATATGCTGACATGAAACACGTTATTCATACAAATAGATGGTCATTTTACCAGTGCAACAGATTTAACAGAGATTTACAGACCTAATAGTTACTTTGTCCTGGGTTATTGGTAACCTTTACTTTTTTTCTGCAACTGTTTTTGCTATTGCTGGTTTGCCTTCATACTTCCTGGTGTACTTCACATTCAAGTCTACAAACAGAGAAAAAAGGAATCAAGCAATGTGTAGCACTGCTCCTGTTATTGCATTTATATGCCTGAAAAAGTAAACTGGGAAAATAATTACGGTTCTTTCGTGTCTTATATCTGCAGTTATCTCTTAGGGACCAGAAACCCCCCCAGTTTCTGTGCTTGCCAAAATATTACCGAAGAATACAGTAACAGACACACACGGTGAAAAGAACAAGTATTAGAAACTGAAGCAGTGCCCTCTAGCCCACCTGCCTACAGCAGAATGCCCACAAGACAGTGGAGAGTACCCTAGAGCCTGGGACCTCTTCAAAGTAGACAAGAAAAATCACCACAGTCTCTGTGCCCCCGTAACAAGTAGCTAGGATGCAAGATGCTAGTAGTAATGTGGAGCAGGAGCTGGTGCCAGAGTAGCTGCTGCATCTTCCTCCAGCAGCCCTGGCTTAGCCCCCTGGCGCTGGGGTAAAATCGCCCCAGATTCTCAGCTGGTGGGGTAGTTCCTCAGCTCGGGCAATGTGCAGACCTCAGATGGCAGCTGGTGAGCTTTCACTTTGGGACATTCCTGTGCTTGGGTGTGGGAGAACACTCCCTTCTAGCATCTCAGCTTTTTTACCCCAGCATAAAACAGAGGCAATAAATACTTAATTACTGTAGAGGACATGCCAGGGTGGGGGGAGAAGAAAGGGTAGGCATCTAAGCTCTAACTTTACAGTTCTGGAAAGAGTTCACAAATCAAGCAGCCTGCTGCTGTTCTGACTTTCCTACAGCAGGCATGTGAAGGACTATCCAAAGAGGATTGCTCTCCCATCACCTTGCAATTGTCTGATTTTTCTCATCCTCTGCTGGGCACACTGGGGAACAGGAAGAAGGATGAGTGTAAGTATTTCATCCTTCCATTTTGTACCAGCAGAGGGGTTCCTGAGGACTGAAAGCAATGAAGGGAAATGTTTGTCGCTGTGAAACATCAGAAGACACAACAGTCTACATCTTTTCTTCTCAGGACATAAAGGCAAACAGCAGCTGGCAGACAAGTTCACAGCCCATATTCCCTCCTCACCATAGGCTGGAGCTCTGTCCCATCTTCGTTGTCACTTCTCATGGTTCTGTGTTTATGCCCTTCTGTTAAGTCGTTACTCTGATTCACAAACATCTACAAACAAAAAGCAGGGTGAGATCATTTGGGAATGCAAACCATTATGTAAACAAAATAAAATAAAATAACAGCCTTGTAAAGGAAGACAGTTAACCTGGGGCTATGAAACTAGCTGGTCCCTAGCTGGATGACACTGAGTGATACTGGGAGGCACTCTGCAGGGTGATGAAAGAAGCTGAATAGGATGAAACAAGAATCCCTCGTACTTTCTCTACTGCAGCAATGAGAGCTCTGGCTGTCTGAAATCACTCACCCAGCTCTCCATCTATTGCCACATATCATCCTGAGGGCCACAGAGCCTCCCTTCCACCCCCAGATGTTTATCACCCAACTGTAACACAGATGCCACACATAAATGCCTTCATGTGTTGGGAAACTCCAAGCCCTTCTCTACGTGATGAAACATACTCTTGGTCGTGCAATGAGGAGGAGTCTGGATGTGCTGCCCCCAGTTTTTCCATACAAGGTTATACTGCCTGCCCTGCTTGCAAGACTCGCCCCTGCGGGAAGTCCTCTTCACCCCAGACCCCAGGGAATGGCTAACTACAAAGAATTAAGAGTTAAACCAGAGTTAAAGAAAAACTACCGCAAAGTTTGGAAGTGGAAAAAGGAAAGCCTCTATTTGTTTCATTAAGGAGAATTGGCTTAAGAAGTATTCCAGCATTTGGCAAAACAGAGGAAGAAGAACAGAGGTCAAGGCTTCAGAGTTTTCCATTAAGTAACATATTCCTATTCAGGACATGTGCTTAAGTACTGTTCTGAATCAAGGCCAAAGAATAACCATCTGCTTTCTTCTGTAAAAAGGGTTAAGCCTATTTTTAGGCTGCCTTTTTATTGTTTTTGTTTGTTTTCAACAAAATTCTAAGAACATTACAGGAAATCTAATAGCAGCATAAAAACAAACAAACAAACAAAACCAAAACCAACCAACCAAACCAAAGCAAACAAAACCAAACCAAACCAACCAAACAAACAAAAAACAGTTTTTCTGACACTGCCCTGAAGAAATCCTTCCAGAAGATTCACATCATCTGAGCTAGTCTGTCCGGCTGCTAAGACTTTCTTTGTTGCGTGGTTTATGAAAAAATGGACAGGACAGGCAAAAATAGTATGAAAGGAAAAAAAGCTTCCACATTTCCAATATTCATATGAAAGGGATGGCATGTATACATTCAAATGCTCCAGATGCAGCTGTTAACTAAAGCTCTCCATCATTATTAGCTATGCAATGATTCTCCATGGGAAGCTTGCAGTTCAATACAGTAATTATCAGGGTAGAGACAGAACAGTCAGTCCAGAGACAGAAGGGTTTAATCAAGAAACATAGGACAGTATTTTGGCAAAAGAATCTATATATGTATGAAGGAAAGCAACTCAAGTTTGAATCGAGTTTGTTCAAAACTACAGCATCCATAAGATGTATATGAATACCTGACCTGCTACAAGCTCCTTGTTCTTTATTTTTGTTCCTTGCTGTACAGAAAGTCAAAATGGACATAAACATCTAATCTTAGGGCACACTGTGGATCATACTGCAGCAAGCTCAGCTATTTATTTATATATTTATATATTTACTAAACCTTAAAAAGTCAGCCATTGCCTATAGGTAGCAGATCACAGCTAGCACACAGGGGCCAGAGGGAGGAGTTCATTTATTTCAATTTTTAAACTCACCTTTTTAATTTGCATCCCTGAGCCCATTCTGTTCTAAGGGCTTGGAAAAGAAATCAGATGGATTAAGAGTTCAGATTAATAGGTCATGGGGAAAGAGAGAATCCCCAAAAGCTTAGATTGGCTCAAACAACTTTGCTGTTATCAGTGGGGCTTACCAACAGTTCCTGATCTACAAAGTACGGCTTCTCTGCAGATCCATCATTTGTTTCCATATCAATAGCAAAGCAAAGGAACATGGCATCCAGCGTCACTTCAAACACAGACAGGAAGCTGTGGGACATCAGGTAGGCAAAAAATCCAACCAGCAACAGAGGAACTACCCAAGCTTGCAGCTCCCGATGGTAGTTAAATGCCATCAATCCTCCAAAAACAGTAAAACATACAACAAACACCTGTAAAGGGCACCAAGAGACAAATGCAGCCTTATTAATAATCACATGATTTGTTTCTTTGTTTTCCTGAGAAACATTAAAAAAAAAAAAAATCCTCAGGCAAATTACAGCTAGTATTTTAAAAGAACATCTCATCTGAGAGATGGCTATGCAGTTTTTGGAAAATAGTTGCCACATTCTGTATTCAATTCAGTGTGCAAATTTTGTAGGGAAGCGGCAACCTACTATATATTTACCAAAGACTCAGTGCAACAGAAACCGCAAGAGTGGCACCAAGGACACTACTTTAACACAAATAAGTAACTCAGTAAAAGCTATGAAAAGGATTAAGTTCCTTAAAATTATCCTCTCTACCAAACTCATTTTACAGCATTAACAACACCGAGTTTAACAAGAATATTACCTTATTTGAGCTTAAGGCCTTATTTACTTTTGGTACAAGAAACAGAATCATACCGATTATTCACCTCAGCCTTTTCCTATTCTTACCTTTCCTAGAAATATGATAAAATCTCCACAACAACTAATGGATGCAAATTCAGCAGAACTCTTCGCCAAAATATGGACAGCATCCTTTGCTGATGTACAAAAACTTGTTCCATTTATGGCAGTAGTTGTGTATACATGCTGAAATGAGAGAAGACAACAATGCAATGTGAGATGACAGACCCTTTTAATCTAGATTTTACTTCTACAAAAATGAAAAGCTTTAAAGATGATTTGGAAATGCTGACTTTGTGAATAAAAAAAAGTTATTTTGCATAAAATGACAATTTTATTTCAAGTGACTAGAGTAACTATGCTTCTAGTGTCAAATAGTTTTTTTTTTACATCATTTCCACCATTAGTAAATGCTGTAACAGGGATGAAGTAAGTTTCTAAACTGATCTTTATCCAATTTATTTTAAAACACCCTAATTTTTTGTTAATTAATTTAACATAGTTACCACAAAACACTTATCTGAATCATGCTATTCAAACTTACTTATTTTCCATGTATCTCCCTTCCACAACTGCTGGAAACCTATACGTGCAGAACAATCAAGCTATGTAGTGATCAAGTAATTTAAAAGTTGATTATTAAAAAGGTTTTATGCACTGCCCTTTTAGACTATTCACATGCTACTGAAATTCAAGCTTATGGCTACAGCCATAAAATAAAACCATCTCATGAAAAATGAAAACAATTATGACAATGATTGTAAAAAAACAGTTAAAGGACTAGACCAGTGAAGAATCTTGTCACTAAAAATAATAATAATAATAATAATTTTAACAGACGGTAGGGGCAATCAAAGGTATCAGGAATATTATAAGATTTCCCTTTGTGGAAATTGGCCAATACATGTGGGATGGCCTTCTTGGACTGGATTATTTTAGCACCTGTTCTGGATAAGTTGACACACCTGTCCCATTTATGGAACTCCTCAATAAGGCTTTGAAACAGCATCCAAAGTATCAGCTAGGAATAACAGCACTCAGGATACCTGAAATATTTGCTGAACTTTGCCAGCAAGTCTTATGAATAGTTTCCCTTTTCTCAAAATATTAGAAGGTGGATTATGTCGCAAGATATTAGTTACATCTGGTACATTCAGAAGAACCGCAGTGTGCAAGGGATTACTGTTTTGAAGGAATTTATATACCCGAACATGTACTGAAGTGCTTAGATTACTTTCTGCTACACGCAGAAGCAGAAAAAAATGATTTGCTAAAAGTGAATTATATTGGCCTACTACAAAACAGTTCCTGTTCAAAAATCTGTTTTTTCTTACAAATCAAAATATAAAACAGCTTCAGATATCTCAAGGCACAGAAAATTATTTCTGCAGAGTCCCGTTTTATCCCAACTTCTGCAATAAACTGTAGTGTAGCAAAGCTATATTGACATTACTGTATCTTAAACTATTGCACAGAAAGAAATTAAACACAAAGATCCTTTGTATCTTCATTTTTAATATTATTTATTTTATATATAGCAAATGAGTTATTTCCTCTGATTAGTAAGCAAAACAAAGAGTATAAGCAGTGACATCCTGTAAGCACTGTACTTATATCATACCTAATGCATCTGTAGATGGAAAAAATACAACTAGAAACCACGGATTTATTGCCCACTATGAGGAAAAAATACATAAAAATAAAGATTCCCCTGAACTTTACAGAAACATGTAGACTATTTGCATAAAAATCTGTTTAAACAAGCAAGTTCTCTCCATCCCGAAATAAGAAAAAACGCCTTCAGTACAGCTTTCATTTACACCATCCTGTGCAGTGCTGCCCCGGGGCCTGCAGGCAGCCTGCCCCTTGGCGCATCCACCCCTTGGGCTTCCCGGTTGCCCACACCCCTGAAAGAGAGGCAGCCTCATCCCACCTGCCTCATGCAGCCTGGCTGCTTGGCAAGGAAAGCAGGCAGCCTGCCAACTCGCCCTCCCCAGGGTGGAAGGCGATCAGATCAGCAGGCCCAGGGCAGCCCTGCTGGGCCTCCCCCTGCCCAGGGCACTGCCACCAGGTTCAGGGAGGGCGGCCTCAAATCAGGTTCCCTCTCTGCCTTCTGTCTCTGGCTGTCACTGCATTTTCAAACACGGATAATACACCTATCTTTATAACATGCTGTGAATTAAGGCTGCTTCGTTGTTCCCCTTAACAGACAGGAAACTGAGACACAAAGTGGAAAAATTGGTTTTGTAAGTTTGTTGCTGTCCCTTAAGAACTAAATTCACAGAGCAGATCCTGATCTGGTGAGGTCAGTATACATTTTGCCAATAAATTAAACACAGATTCTGTATTCATTATAAACTGAAAGAAAAAAAAGTTCTGTTTTAAAAATTAAAAAAGAATGCTGAAAATGCATGTGCATTTGTACAAACACTGTACCAAACCTTAAAATAAACAACCACTTGTTCACATTCTGGAATTAGCCACTTCGGTATCTGAGGAATGTGCCATGAAAAGAATTTCTGATATTTATTAACTAGAACAGTTTTCTTGGAAGAACTGGAGAACAATGCTAGAGACTGAATACTACCTGCATAGGCATTTGCGTTGCTACAAACCAGCTAATAAGAAGTGGAACTTATAACAATTACAACTTCAACAAATACAACCATCAACTAATCATAACACATAAGCAAGAGACACAGCCAGGTGGTAACCCAACATTACAGAAGAGGCACAGAAATGAATGAACTAGAAGGCTACAAAAGTAGACATTGGCATGGGTGAAGTATGAATGTTACTAGTAAAAGCTGAAGACTGAGTCAAGCGATCTTTGGGGAAAAAATACATTTTCAAACTCAGAGTTGCACAGAAACTAGTTCAAATGATTTCTCATCCTTACCCACCAAAGAATAACTAACACATAAGCTACTCCCAATATTTGCAAATGATTTTGGACTTTGGACTAAGAAGCTTAGCTCTCCCCTTTATTTTCTAGTTGCAGGGATTGCAACCCATTCATTTTCAAAGATAGTTGTGAAGGATAAGATGGCAGACTGCAGTCACATACGAGCCTGCTATCATTTAGAAACAGACTATTCAAATGTGGTGTTTTTTTCCTACCAGTTGTATTCTCTTTCCTCATGCACAAAAGCTTTAGTGGAATTGGAAATGTGTGAGAGAAGGGCAGCAGGAATGATCCAAAAGGTATGGAATGTCTTCTGTCTGGGGAACTACTGAGTGCACCAGACTCCACTGTCTGGAAAAGAGATGACTGAAGTAGGATGCGGTAAGAGGGCTACAAAAGCATGAGAAATATGGAGAGTAGGTAGGATTCGATGCTTACTGTTTTTTCTAACGCAAGGACTAGGCAGAGTGGGTAACCATATGAAGCAGCAGGAACCAAATTTGAAAACAGATGACTGCTCTTCTCACTGTATCCTGCAAGTTGTGAGCTCACACTGTAAGTTGTGAGCTCCTGTCCAAAGGATGCTCTCTGGCTGCTAAAAGTTCCTGTGAGCTCAAGGGAGACAGGAGAAGTTCAGGGAAAAGGGATCCACTGAGAGATACTAACCACACAGAAACCACACTCAGCTCAGGATGTTCCTAGGCCTAAAACAGATTCAGAAACAGCACTGGATACAGGGAAACACACACTCTTTATGGCTTTGCAGCCACTCACAGCCACTGTTGGAGATGAGTCACCAGCCTAGGCAGAGGTTCTGCCTGGCCCAATAAAGCTGTTATATACTTAAACTTTGCTTAATGCATCGATGTTTTACAGCGGTAGTCTCTGCTGCAGTGACAAGCAAGTACTAATAGCATTGATAGTGTACCACGGATCAGCAAGCATGGGAGACAGAGCGTGAGGAAGTGCCTTTATCCTTGCACCATCGAGTCGGTACTGTGTCACCAATTTTGTGAAGAACACAAGCCTCTTCTGGCTTGGAGCCTGGGAACTAGACACTGGTTTCTCAGTGTCAGGAGGAATAAATAAGGAATGTGAATGTTTACATATTTCCAAATACCACACTATGCAAAAAAGAATTTAAAAGAATACATCCTTCTGTGCTTCACAACACAGAATGTCAAGGGTCTTGGAAAAACTGACCTGCCAGTTTCATGAGAAAGGCACTGTGGCTCAGATCCAGCCCATAAGTTCCCCAACTGTTGAGAATAGTTGCTACTTTGTATAACAGCTGAATTCAGTCTTCCATTCTAGGACTTGCTTTAATAAAATGAGCTTGGGGAAAGACGGGATTGCCATAGCAACAGAATCCTTTTAAAAAAGAAGCAGGAGACATGCTGGTCTCACATCCCATTTCAGCTTTTTCTGCTCTACTGATATTTTCAGCCTGATCCAACCTGCTTGTTGCTGCCAACTCCCTTGGGGGCTGTCCTGGCTATCTACACCCACTACAGTGCCATGCAGCTCAGCCAGGGCTTTTAAACTTCCTAGCTTGCAAGTGCCACAGCTGCCATAGGATTTTCCTCAGAAAACAAAATCTAGTGGTAGCAAGTGGAAGTGACGTTTCTGTGGCTGCTGTACAGGCCTTTAGTGACCCAGTGGGACAGCTGTATCATGACTCTCAGGTGGTGGGGGGAAATTGGAGCAATGCGGGCCTGTGAGGCCCTGCTGAGGAGATGAAGACATGTAAAACTGGAACAGACATTCAGGCACTCCAGTCCCTGGCTATTTCAAGCTATCATGCTACTCAATTTCTTCTATTAAGTGGAAAGCTCCCTCTTTAAACTACTTAGGGCTTTTCCCTCTCCCAGCCCTTGCATTTGGATCTATTCCAGACCATTGTCCCTCTGGTCCTTAGGATCCTTCTTCCAATTTCCAGACAACTCAGGAACTCATGAACAGCCTACAACTACTCATTCTTCTGCTTATCTTGTGTTGGATCTTACTGTTCCCTGCCGTTTCTCTTCCTGATGCACTCAGAGATGGTAAATGTGCCTGCTCTGACCCTTTATTTGTAAGGGTAGACACACCAGGATATCCCAGTCCCATCTTGTGAGGTAAGGTTGTGAGGTTTACTACCTAAAACCAGCAACCTGAACAAAGGCATTCATCCCATACCTTCTCCAGGACTGAATCTGCCACTTCTGCAGCCATCTCAATAACCAACTAATAGCCATTGTCCTGCAAAAGACAAACGCACGGAGAACACTCTTGTCCATCACTTCCCCAGTGAGCACACAGCTAATACAGAAACTGTTATTTCTGATTCTTAGGCTAACCACTAATTATAAGAAACTCGACAAAAGCCTCCTGATTTTTTTCCAAGCAGTCCAGAAAGCCCAGCTTTGCACTCCACCTTACATTTGCAACCTGGACTTGCTGGAAAATATCTTGTCTTTCAACTTGCCTTGTTTTCTACTCTGTCACGTACTCCCTCCACAGGTGTCATCCAGCGGGTACATTCAACACAGCTTTCTCCTGGGTTTGTAGTTGGGTGTTCTCTCCTGCAGCATCTCACTGCTGGCACTCTTACTGCAGAGAACCTGCTCTAAGTGCCCATTGCATCATGATTACATTATTACTGGAGTCACTTAACTGTAGCTTCTGCAATAGTAGCGTGACGGTGTTTCCATTAGGGAGTTCTGAAATAAAAACAAACTGAACGTGGTCTGGGAGTTGTTCCGAATTGCCCTGCTTAAGAGCACTAAATTAGCGTTCAGTTGTTTCACTGCATCCCATCCCCCTCAATTTTTATTTATTTATTTATTTTTAAAGTGGGAGAAGGGAGAGAAGAAAAGCATCAAAGCCAAGAACAGGTCATTCTCATTCATCTCTATGCCCCACATGGTTCACCCTATGAAGCAAGGAAAGACCTGCAATATTTATCTCCCATTACCGCATATTTAAAAAGTCTTTAGAGGGAAAACAAACATATTTAAAACAACATTTCACCAAAGACTGATGTTTTAGCCAGTATTTTCAAGATGATTGAAAGTTTAGCTTCACATCTAGAAGAAACTTTGCCAGTAACATTAAAGGGCAGTATTGGTTTTGGGAAGAAAAAAGAAGTATTTGATGGTGTGAGGCACAATATCTTTGGCAGCACACAGGAGAACTGTACTTACATTAGCATGCCTGAATTTTGGTTTTATCTAGGTCATTTCTCCAGAAGGCATTTAAGCACAGCCTCCTGATAGGCTTCCATCCAAAGTTTAAGAGACAACTAACTACCATGGATATATGACCAACAGACAGACTTGCTTCTGTTTTTTCACACTAGACAGTTGCTGGCTTTCAGTGTCACTGAAGGGTCTCAGTGGGAGCAAACGCAGGCGATCACACCGTGTCATTCACCAGGAATGGCTACCACAGGGCCCGGAAGGCTACGCAGCACGAAGCTGTGCTGAGGAAAACAGAGAAACCACATACACTCAGCAGCTCCAGAAATCCATGTGCTGCACTGTGGAGCGGTTGCCTGCCAACTGGCTACAGATGAACGCAGCGCAGACACAGAAAAGCAGAATTATCCTGAAATAGATATATTGTTAAAAATGTCATTGCAACAAGGCTGTAAAGAAAAAAAGTGACTGCTTTGATGTATCAAAAGTTAAGACTTTGCCATAACAATTTAAGAGAGCAGGAGACAGACAGACCTTGCAGCTCCCAGACCACATAAAGAAAACAGTATACTCTTTTTACGGAAGAGAAATTTCAATCTCCCAGATTTTACTTGAGATGATTGGATATGTTTATCTGGAACATACTGAAACTATCAGAGCCAGAAGATGAAAAATCTGTGGTAATTCTGACAAGTGTTGGCAAACAGAACTGTCAAGTAAGGATAATGACTTTATATTCACAAAGCACTTTTCATCCAGATAGAACCCAGAGTGCTTTACAATTGTTACTAATGGATTATACACACACATGAATCACTTTGCCCATGACTGAAATGGAACAGCTTAAGGAGTGAACTGTTTAACAGCACATAGCAACACTACACCACAGTTTAGCACAGGATCCAGTTGCATATCCAAAAGAAATTTAGGAAGGCAGAATGTAATTATCCACATTGCAATCTGAACAGGATACTGGTTTACATTATTCCTCCTGCAACGACCGCCACTGGAAATACAGCAACTGTCAGCATCAAGTGCAGCATCTGTCATGACAGGAAGATGACAGGGTACCTTTTTGGCCCTGTTCAACTTAAATTGCAAGAGAGCTGAACACAATTTAGCTGACCAAGGAGAGAAGGAATCTCTTCAGGAATACACACAACAATCAAAGTTAGTGTTACACCCCTCCTGAAAGACAGCACATCAGCCCACTGACAACGTAACAGGGCACTTGGTTCACACTGCACGGGAAGAAAGAAGCTCACACACTATCACCAATGTTACTTCCTCCAACACCTATTTATCATCTGCAAGTTTCCCAGAGAGAAAACAAGGTGCTCTGCTTAATCCGATTATACTAGTGAATGAAAGAGCAAGAAAGGATTTTAAATATCTAAGCAATACAACAACAGGTTGAAGAAAATAATGCAGAAGTGATGGGGAAGGCTTTTTAAGTTTCCAGGTAATTATATGCTTATTACAATGGTGAACATAATAGTGGGATAAAAGGCAAAAGCACAGTAAGGAATGTTAATGAGCTTTGGACCGACTTTTGTAGCAGCTGTTCCGCATTTCTATAATTTCAACTCATAGAAAAATCAAAATCTAAACTTAAAAATACATTCAAAATGTTAGATACATACGCATATGTAAAAGCAACTTTATAAAAGTCCCTAAAGTCCAACCCTTGAGTCCATGTTTAACAGCAATGTGAAATTTCAAGGCTGTACCCAATATTCACTGATCTCAGTGAGCACTCTTAAATTCAACACTTGTGTTAATCAAACTGTATGTTAAGCTTCTTAAAACTAGTTATTTTTTCCACAAAGACTTTCAATCTTAGTCAACACTTTTATTTTTAATAGCCTTGAATATATTCTTTATAGAAAAAAAAAAAAAACATTAATTGCCCTATGAAATGCCATAATCTGAGAACATTACCCTTTCATACAGATAAAATTTCTATCAAAATCTTACAGAATGTTCTTGCTTTTGTTCTCTGTCTCCCAAACTGCCCCAGATTTGAAGCTCGTATAGCACCATCATCTTTGCTAAACTGACGTTCAAACAAACAATTATCTAGCAGCAAACACAATACTAAGATCACTAGGCTAAAAACACAACTTGTATAGAAATAAATTTGCCTACAATAGATTAGGAAACAGGAAATCTTTTAAGGGAACAAGAGATACAATACAGCCTTCTGAAACAAAAGAAAGTACATTACTGTAATTAATTCTCCTTTTAACAAACACATACCATACAACAGCTGGAGAAAGTAAACACTGTGATGCTGGCTATCTCTTTGAAAGGCAGGAAGCCAAAGGGAAAGGGTGACTACAAACGGGAAGCCTGGAGTTAAAACGAACTCTAAGATTCCTCACCGAGTCAGTGACCATAAGATCTACCTAAAAAATGTAAGTCTGGAAAATTCATCGGCTTAGATAGAACCAGAGATTTTACCGCACAAGTATTTAATCTAAGGTGAACTAAGTGAAAAATGTTCTTTTCATAGTTGTCCAGGATTAAGCTTTATTTATGCAACTACTTTAGAATGAGAAATCTGACTCTTTATCAGCATTGTCTTGTTTACTTCACTGCTGCTCTTAGCAATGAGAACAAAGAAAGCAACAGAGTTATGAATCAGCAAGAACATCTGATTCCTTGTCACATTAATAATATCACAGCCACCAGAGATAACAAAAGGGGACTGACAAAGAGAAGAATTAACTATTTACAATGATGTACATAGAACTTGGAGAAATATTCATAAATCTGGAGAAAAGGATCAGAAAGGAAAGAGTACCAGAAAACCTGCTGCATGTCATAAGTCATTCATTTCCAATAAAAGCACTTTTGAAACAAAACTGCTAATAAAACAAAGAAGTCCTTCAAATACAGAGCATTATATCATCTGGCTTTTTGATCATGGATTATATTCCCAGATATTTTGATAATGGAAATCAGCCAAGACTTCAGTTTTCTTTAATAGGGACTTTCAAGTGGAAAATACTGTATCTAGTTTAATGACGCATCTCCAGGTCTGTTTCTCACTTAATTTCTTCCTTCTACCTGGACATTTCAGTTGTCTCTCTGGCACAACTTAACAAGATGTTGTCCTCTTACCTTCAGAAATAGCAAGTGGCCCTCTGAAAGGGTCATCTCAAGCTGTATTAATAAGTTCTCTAAAATTTACACTCGGTTACCTTGCATGTTTGTCAACTCCCTGTTTCTTTGCAACAATCTCTACCTACACTTGAAGAATTTTTTGTTTAGCTAGCCAGCAGGTAGCTTTGACTTGTATGCACTGGATATTGCTTTAGTCATGCTAAATGGAGCTAGCATACACACATGGTTTCTAAACTAGGTGTGCAGATGGTTGAGTGGCGGAGATGACAGAGCGTACCTGGTTAAAGTAACTTAAGCAACCTTCCTGGCACCACAGCCAGCAGGAACAGCATTTCAACAGGCACTTTGCACATGCACTCTCCTGCAATAAAATGAAATGTTTGGTTATTGGACACAGAATTAGACTCAAAACTGCCATTTTAGAAAAGCATGCTTTACAGGTGACCGACTCTTCTAACAGTATTCACTTAGGCAGCACATGCTTCCTTTTGGATTATAGGACTTGTTTTTAATTCAGACCCTACAGTATTAATGACTGATGAGCTGAGCATATTTTTTTTCTTCCTGTAGATGGAAGATACTTCTCCAGGAAAAAAAATAAATGCTGTAAGCAGCTTTGTGAGCTAACAGCTGCACGGAGAACAAAACAGGCAGGCAAGTCAGTAACCCTTACAGTACTATGCAGTGTTTAGGGAGTAGAGTTTGTTGTTTGTTTGTTTTTTACTTTTTGTTTTAAACTTCTTTTGTCATTTATCAAAAAAATTTCATGGTTCTGAAATGAGCAGTATCCTAATGGTCAAAAATTAAAAAATGGGCAGGATTTATGTGTTTGTGTTGATCCAGAGCATACAATCACTTTCCAAGACATGAGGAAAATACTTTTTTCTAGAACAGACCGCAGACCACTGATCTCTATTAATTTCATACTAAAAACAGAGAAGGAAACTCAGTGTTTGTTCTACCCCCCACAGCCCCACCAAGAGCTCAGAACTCTTCATCACCAAAGATTTTATCAAACAAGACAAGAGAAAGATATCCTGGTAACCCTGGTAGCCTTCCAATTTTAAATGCCTGTTTTTCTCAGCAAAAGGAATTTCAGTTCAGTGATATTTGAGTCTTTTTAACCTTATTTTTCCAGAGGCTAAAATGCTTTTCTTTTGTTTTGGAAAGCAGAGATCTTCCAGTTACTGTATGAAATACTCGGGTCCCACAGCTACCATGGAGTTATGTTGAAACCATGGGCCTCCCAACTTTTTTCCCCCAAGTTCTTGAAAATATTCCATGAATAATTCCTTTACAATGGTGAGTGTACATACAAACTCCTGATAGCAGAGAAATGCTTTAATCCCACCATGCTTTGCTGGAGAGATGATTTTACTACAACTGTGTTAATTTCATTAAGCACTGTTTATTCAAAACAGAGTAAGGGACTTCAAGCAGAATAGCAGAAAGAAGATTGCAGTTGAAGACCGCTGTGTAGGAAACACCAGTGAATTTACCTGCAAAGCTTGCAAACTCCTGACTTCTCCTCTCCTCAGAAAACAGGAGCTTATTTTGCAAAGGTGACAAATCTGGGTGAGCTCTATAAGAATGCAGCACCTCTTCTCCCTCTTTAGTACTTCTCCTGCCCTCTACTGAGAGAGCTTTGATGGAAAGGGGCCACAGCCCCTCCCTCCTGCCATGGGAAGGAGCAAAGTTACTTTGTGGGGCATCCTTTTGTGGACTGAGCACTTCATAGCCTCTTTAGGAGCAATTATGGCAATGGGACATGTCACATCCTAGCTAGATGCTTGGCAGCTGGACCAAAAGGAGTTTAAAGCATGCTACTATTGAAAAAAAAAAAAGTAATCTTTCTTTCCAAGGTATTTCTACAAGTATTCAGATTACAAACAAGCATGCCCAGAAAGTCCACTGATCCTGCTTCCTCTAGATTCAGGCAATACTCTGTCTTCTTTCTAGCACAACTCAACCCACCTACCGTCTTTAAACAAAATTCTTAATTGACCCAAATCACCACATTTTATAACCATCATATGCTTTCATATGAAAGTGATGGTAACCCAGTCACTTCTACATCTCTTGAGCATTGTATTATGAAGGGCTTTTTTATCTGAGCATTCTCAAAGTATACCCACATACATCTCGGAGGTACTAGGGATGCTCAAAACGATACCGTCAAAAATAGATATAACACACTTCACGGTCGAGGCATTTGTTCTGGAGTAAAAGAGATGAATTCTAAGACCTACATTTAAAAACTTTGTCTAAATCTACCTCTGAAGTCAGAGCTGTACAGTCACGAGAGCTCGCTCTCTCCTTGCCGAAGTGCCAGAGCTAACCACACTGGTATGTTGTCAGCAGAAGGTAAGAGATGCAGAGATGCATGAAAGACAGAAAGAATGCAAGCAACAACCACAACAGCCTAGCCGTATTTTTATATACCTTAATAGATGTGGTTTGGCTCCTGTATAAATCTCTGGAATAGTTCTTATTTCACATATTCTTTCCATAAACACATATCATAAAACATGTGAAATCTTTTCACATGTTAGTATAAAAGGTATTTTATACTAAACAATATAATTCTTACTTTACTTTTTTTAATCTATGATGTGAAAATTCTAAATAAAGCCTTCTGCCAAATCTGTATTTTTCCTTTATCTGCCATAAAAACATTTACAAACAAAAACTAAATAAAGGTGGTTTTTATGTTAGCATTTTCTCCTCATATAAATATCTGAGTTGAGAGAAAAAAATGGAAGCACTTGAAAAAGGCCTTCTTCATGAAGGAAAATGGGATAAAATAAAAATTCACATTATGTCATCCATTTTAAATGAAGTATATTCTTCACAATATTTTTCTCGAACCTCACCATTTAACTACTACTTTTATGTGTTACAGAATTATATACTTACCTTTTGTTTTAGGATATTAAAAAGGTGCAAGAGAACAATCCTTGGTATTCTCAGTATAGCAATTAAAAATGAGCCTTTTACAACAGTTCCTAGATGATAGCAGAAAATAATTGAAATGGAAGACAGGACTGGGTGACGTGGTGGGCTATTTTTGTTTCTAGAAAGAAAAATAACATTTTAAAATGTTTTGGAAACTGTTATTTAAGGAGATATGCATAGTATCAATTTAGTATTTGGAGATTTAAGCATTTAAGCTGGTATACCCTTTCACACTTAAAACTACTCCAATTTTCCTTCTGACTTCATCTGAATGTTCACCTTAGTCCAAAGCAAAGTAGCCAAGTTTATAACTTTTATTAGATTTGTTTAATTCTTAAGCAATGACTATTTTGATATATTCAGTAATGGAAAAAATATCTAGAAAAAAATTCTATGGAAAAGAACAGAAGTGAACAACATCTGAGAATACTTCCTCAAACATCTCCCTCCCGTTTCTGTCGCTTTTATCCTCTCAGTCTTTTATTTGACTGTCTTTTCTGCAAGATTTTAGTCTGAAGGAATGAATTCACTATTTCTGCTTTAGTGATAAAGCTAACAACAGAACAAATATGACAAGATCTCTTGTGTAAAACTGAGATTTAGTTACTGTTGCAACTTGACTGAATTTTGTTTTAAATTTTGTTCAGATAATTAATGCTTTTTATTTCTCACTGAACAGGTTTTGTTTTAAAATGGAACACACAAGAACACACAAGAAAGAAATTTCAAATTGTATGTTTAACATTATAATTTGGCCTAAAAATCTTGTAATTCCTCTGTAATCTGTGTCGTTCTGGGGAAATAATGTATTTCCCAAATTTCAAATGGAAAGACAAAAAGTTAACCTCATATGACTGGCCTAAGAATCCCAAATACAGGTTTTATTTCCTTGCTTCCTTTATAGAGTTCAGTTTAATGTCAATCATTTACAGAGAATAGTATGACACAGCTCTCAAGAATTTATATGAAATCCAGGAAATGAACTTAAAGCCATTCCCCAACCCCTCTTCAAACACTGTAAGAAAAAAAAAAAAAAATCAATCAGATTAACACTATAAATACCTAAAAAAATATTTTGGAGGGTTCAAAAAGAAACAACAACAACAAAAAAAAACAAACACCAATGATTAAGAGTCACAAACTATCCATCTATAATGCAACTGTATGCAATAGGCCCAACCCTGAAAAAGTTACTCAAGCAACAGAAACAGTGGGTAAGTAAAGATCAGACATCATAAATATAAAAGACATCATAAATGCGATGTCCTATTTTCATAAGTGATTCCTTCAAAACATCTGTTACCTTGAAAAATTAATAGTTTGCAGAAGAAGGTAAAAAATAAAAAGGAAGTGATAAGAGAGAGTGACTGGTTGGGGCTAAATATCTACAAATATATTTTTGTTTTATAAATATTTTTTAATTAAGTCTTCATATACACTGCTTTACGATGGGTATCACAGTTCTGCAATAATCCTGAAGGTATCACTGCAGTTCATTCAAAACACTAACTGCAGTTATATTTAAGTATGTGAATATACCACATTATTTTAAATAGGAAATTCCAGCAATGCAATTGCTGCATTTATTATTTTTGGTCTCACAACTAGAGGAACTGCTTGGGGATACTGAAATTTTATAATAAGTCTTTTTTTTTTTTTTCCAAGTTATCAGGTTTCCATGTTGGAAACACATACATCTCAATATAGAGAAGTTACTCTATTCAGATAGCACTAGTTTTTCCTCTTCCCTTTTACACTGGCCTACACATAACAGCCTCAGTCAAATCTCAGAATATAAAAATTAAGTTTCTGCAAGTTAAAAGGTAACCAAGGCTGAGAAATAAAAAAGGACAAAGTTTACTTGATAATTTACTTGCTACCACGGAGAAGAATAAAGAACAGTTTTCATACTTTTAACAGGTCTGATTAATGAGCAAAAATCTCAGAATTTGAAGTTTAGATAAATTCCTACACATTTGGAAGCTCTTCCACGTCTTCTTTTCCTAGCATTGGAATTCTCACAAGAACAGAGTCTGACAAAGTTTCTTGCTTTGCTTCCAAACAGATTGGAAAAAGAACAAACTTTTTCCTTATAATTCTGGCTCAGGGAAGGAAACATAGGGCAATAGCTAGCCAAATACAACAACAGGTTATACTTCTGACTAATCAAGTTCAAGACTGGCTCAATTATCCATCTACACCCAAGTACCCTCAAGGATGAAGTTTCATCCCACTTTTTACATTATGCCTGCAATCCTGAAACAACTTTAGTACAAGCATGCAGTCAGCCACATGCATAAGGTTTTGTGGAAAGTTTGTATTGTTCAGTGAATCTGTGCATGCAGACTCATGGCATGGATGCAGTGCCCCAACATATGCAAGGTATCAGGGGAAAACAGGAAGATTCCTGATAGGACTGGTTACAGGACTGATTAGGGCCACAGCTCGATTTTCCTCTTCAGTATTCCTATGTTATGTCACCAAGGGATTGCTTGATTCATACAGAACACTATCATTCCAAAATCCTGTGAATCGTCCTCAATACTACATCATCTTTTAATCTTTAAACTTTATTTTTTCAAGTTCTGTCAGCTGTTTATTTTCTTATGAGCTCTGTGATATTTGATACCTTTCTTAACACTAAGTTCCTTGGATTGAATGATCACACAAGCATCTCATCTTTAATTTTAAAACCACTTTTTTTGTGTGATGAAAAAATGCCACCTAGACTCACCCAGAAGTCTTACGTATTTAAAAGAAAAAAACAAACAAACAAACAAAAACACTTCTCCTTTTCAGAACTGTGCTTATAGTTTTCTTAATCCTGCCTCACCCTTTTCAAAGATTGCCTAGAGATTTACTGTAAAATACTTCAGAAGTATTAACGAACGAATCATGTATTCTCCAAGTAAATATGAATTCCAGCTTTTAAAGAAGTACTAAGAATTTCAAGATTTGTAACAGAAGAGACATTATCAGGCTAACAGAAAGCTCTCAGAGTGTACTTCAAATTGCCCTTTTAGCTGCTCTCAGCATCACAGGGACAGGTTTGACTACATGCATGCTGATAACCCTTTTCATGGGGTAGGTCAGTAGGGTAAAGGATGCTCATAAATGCTACAGATGTCTTGGAAAAGGGAAGAGGAATCCTTTACACATTTAGTCCTAGCTCATGTCTCAATGACTTTGGTGCAAATCTTGATTGTAAATCCATAAAGCTTTGTTTACTGGGAGATGTATTTCACCTCTTACTGAGTCTCGTACTGGAAGTTCGTGGTGCTGAGCATCTTAGATTCAGGTGGAAAACTCCAGTCCTGCAAATACTTCCTGATCATCAACACTGTGCAGTGACATACATACAAGATTTAGTTATTGGATAAGCTCAAACATGGACAGGACTGTGATCCCTGTGACATAGGTCGAGTTAGCATACCACCCTCCTTTAACTGCAGGGAAAGGAAAAAGCTCATCTAATCAAAAAGGCAAATACATGAATAACCCCTAAGCACACCAAAGTGAAAATAAACCCTCATGTAGGACAGCAATAATAACAAAGAATATATATATATATATATTTAGACTGAGCCTTCTTCACAAGTCATAAAAAGTAACCATTCAATCTATTTTATTGAATTAATACATTATTTCACAAATTCATTTTTCATCTAAAACCAAAGAAGGCAAAATTAATTTGTGGTGGTGGTACCGCAGGTCAAACGTACACTACCTGTAACGCTGACCCAGCTAAAAGAGCCACCCTGCCCTCCCTGCTCAGAAACCTGGCACGGCTGCCGGTCGCACAGCACATGGCTGCATGTGCTGTGGAAGGAGATTTCCGCACGGAAAGGCCATGCCATTTCCTCGGAGCACTCAGAAGCCAAGAAGAAAGCATCTCTGTGAGGTATCATAAACAAACTCTTGTGACATGCCTTTGTGATGCTGCCCCAGGGAATACATTAAAAACACATAGCAGGCAAGCCCTGAATTTCTGGAACAGCTTGAGATAACCCCTGCCCTCGGCAGTGCGACTGCTCTTGTAGCTCACCATCCTCTCCCTGTCCCTTCCCTGCTCTCTGCAGGTCTGTGCTGACAGCCTAAAGACCAGGAAGAGGGGTCACCACCACACCAAACCTGCATTTCCTTTTCCAAGCACAAGTCACTCAAAAACAGTATGTTTAACCTGGCAAGCAAAAGGAGGGCTTGAAAGTAGCAGTACAAAAATGATTTCAATACAAGTGGGTGCAGGAACCTTCTGTCCTCCACAGCCAGTTCCTGCAGCAGTAGAAAATAGCTGGAAAGCGGAAGACCCTGACAGAGCAGCAGAAGTCACCACACAACAGCTTTTACAGCTGCTTCCCTGCTCTGCATGAAGATATGGACAGTGTCTTTACCTTGGGGATTTAGATGGTGTATTGTTCAAATATGCACTGCAGCATGCGAAACAGTAAAAGGCAGCAAAACGTATTTTCTTTCCTGTGCTTTCCCAAGCAAACAACCTAAATGAACACTTAGTGCCTCAGCACTCAGCTGCCAAAGCTAATTCAACTGCTAAAGCTTGAAGAAGATAAAATTCGCTTAGGAGAAAAGAGCAGCCAGCTACCCAGGGAACCACAGACATGCTAGTTACTTGCGCTCAGAGCCTCAATAGGGAAAAAGGAGATGACTTGAACTATGAGCTCCTCCCTTATCAGGTCCTTTCACAGGATGTAAAGTAGCAGTGTCACTCAGCAGGTCTTAACCTTTTGAAAACCAGCATTGTAGGTTTTGTCAGCACCCTTACTAGCACCCGTTCTGTGGAACGGCTGTCAGCTGTGTAGAGGATCCTAGCACAGAATTCGTAATGTACATGTTAAACAGTGCCCTGCCCTGGCCTTCTGAATGGGATGACTAAACATTGCTTAAAACAAGAATGGCCACTGACTGTTACACCTTCCAGCTTTGCTGCTACAGCTGGAGCACTCCTGCATGCAGGCCCTGTGCTGGTGTCTCTGCTGGGCACAGTAGAAACCATTTGGAAACCTTTTGGAAAGAGACTTTTCTCTGGAACTGAAACATCCAGGGATATGTTCTAAAGAGCATCAACAGAAACCTGCTATCTAGGTGTTGGTGAAGCCCAAAGTCTCCCTTCCCCGGTCCCCAGTCCCAGTTGTCCCAAGCTGCTTTGGCTGAAGCGCTCTGGGCCCTCTCCTGCCACACTTGAGTTTTTCACAGACGGAAACCCTCATTGCTGGGAGTGGAGGAACAGAGCAATGAAGGGAAGAAAGCTCATGAAATATTTATGAAGAAAAATGCTTTCCAGATACTACTCTTCCCATTGTCAAAAAAAAAAAAGAGCCCAGCAATTGTGGGATTTAAATCTCCCTCACAGTGACAGGGTAGCACCGCACAGATGCATGAAACCAGTTTAATTTCATCTTATAATATTTTAAATGTAAAAAGCAGTACAAATCATGATAAGTGGGGATTTTTCCTCCACCTTTACCTTTCAATATAGTATAAAATTCAAGGAATTTTCTTTACATCTCGAAGTTCTTAACAGGGCTGTTAAAGCATTCACAGTTAATTGAAAATATCTGCACAGAACAAAAAAAGTGGAGCAGACTAGGCACTTACACAGTCAGAACTGGAAACCCAGAGCGGGGATGAACACTTAGGAAGAGGTCAAATGGCCAATGAATACATAAAATTACGGCAGAGCTATATATTACATCCCTATTTGGAGCTTCCAGTCTCCTGGAAAAGGGTCAAATGCAGCCTTGTGCCCTATGAATGGCAATTTCATCAGAGTCAACAATGTTCTCTTGGCTTGTATCAGTGGCTCAATTTGGCCCAATAACTCAAGTGGTATGGGGTGAGTCATATTAAGATCACTCACACTGTAAAATCAAGACCTTGCAACAAGTAACACTATTTTATATTAAACTGGATTCCAAAATACTGGCATAAACTGCAGTTCATTTGAGACTACTTTACCTAGAAAGAGACTGAAAGTAAATGCTAGCAAATCCCCAGAACTATAAGGAGGCAATTCAGCACTTACCTGTTGAAGTAGCAAGTAACCACTGCCCCAGCAATTGTCATTTGCTGACAGGCAAGAATGAATTCACTAGTCCAGATAAGGCCAATGAAATGGTACCATGCCATGTAGCAAATTCCAGACAGAGCTCTGTATTCTACTTGTCCTTCTGAAGTGGTTTGTGCGGTACCTGGGATTGGGATTGTATCACTGTATTAATACAATTCATTAGAGAAGAACAAGCAAGTATGTATGTAACCTTTTTCTTAACACTTGTTCAATGAAATAAAAAACATAAAAAAATAAGTTCAAGTAATATTTATTTCTACCCACTCCAACAAAACCAAAGAGCCAAAATTTTGTAATTGAAATAGAATTTTGAAAAGTACAGCCTTGCAAAAAGTAAAAGCTTGGGTTTAAATTTGGTCTAAAGCAGAGCTGCCAATAAAGTCAAGAGGAGAAATGTAAATCAGTAAAGATTTCTAAGAAAACATTACTCAATATTTTAGTAATGAAACGCTTCAGAAGCATCCTAAAAATATCTTTGTTTTCTTCAATCAAATTTGAAATTAACTCATAGTTATGAAATGTTATAGATTTTCTCTATAAGGAGCAAAAGAGAAAAAGTGCATAGAAATATTAAGGATGTATAACATTGCAACAAAACAAAATTACTATTTTAATGACTACTACTAATTAGAACAACAGCAACTCAGTTTGCATTCTCTGTACTCTGCAATCTTTGTGCAAAATACAGGCATATAAGGAAAGCCTCTCCAAACCCAGTGCCAATAATAATGCAGACATCTGTATCGTAGTAAGCGCTCCAGAGTGACTACTACATTGAGGAACATTGAAAAATGCACTTATGCAAGCTAAATAAAATTCTCTCCACTTCCATTAATAACAAAGAATTCATTCCATACTCAAAAGATAGCTTTTCACAGAAGGCAGGAATAACTCAGGCAACTTAGCAATCAGACCTTTCCCTATACAATCCGATTTATGACACTTCACTTTGAAGTCTAGTCACAGAATAACTGTATCAGAACATTCATTCCTAGTGAAAGGTCTCTAGGTCCATAACCCATGGTTGTTTTTTTAAAGTTTTGATTTTGCTTTTTTTCTTTTTATTTTACCAAGCCTTTACTCCATTAACCTTCAAGATATACATGATCACAGAATAAAATGATCTCTGAAGGTGAGTGGTTTCTTACTCCAGCTGCTTGAAAGAAGAGAGAGAATTGTCTTTTACTGCTGGCACAGCATTCTAATGCCAGCACTAATGTGCACCATCTGCAAGTTCAAAAATACCACAGATAGTAAGCTATGAAGTGGTTCACTTAATTCTGTCCTATTTTCTACAGCAACAGAGTTCATACTTAAGAATAGCAAGGAGTAGAAACAATAAAGATTTGTTTTCAGCCATCAGGTTTAGACAAGCTTTACAAGCCTTCACAACCCAAGTCCATTTGCCTGTAAATTATGAAAAATATTAATCCACCCCATAGCAGCACTGCAAAATTATTTTGAAGTGCTTTGAAAGGACCAAAAATCACTACACAGGTGCATAATCGTTACTATGTGGTTAGCTTAAATATGTGTCTGTATTTAAAAAATTGAATTATTTTACTCCTACAAGATTAGCACTATAAGAAACTCATCCCTCTTAGATGCTCAGAGAAGAACTATTTGCTATTGAAAGGCATGGAAAAAAGAACAAGTCTATGAATAGATTTATAGCCTACAAACTAAGCATTCTTCCCACAGTTGAGCCAATCTTGTTCTCAGCACTCTTGTAATCAAGACTCGCATGCATCAACGCAACACAGCTGGCCTCAAGGAGGTGTTTGTAGGTACTGTAGGTATCAGGCTTGTTCAGCAAGGCAACCTTTGCTGAAGTGCAAACACAGACATTTACTTTTTTTAAATATTTTGTTTTCTGAAAGGTTATCAATTTTAACTAAACAGTTAACTCTTTTGCAATTGCTGTAAGGCTGATCATTCCCAGAAATACCGCTGCTGCCATTATATTCAAATGCATTTTAAGTCTGTGAAATGCAAGATGCTTGCTGTTGTAAAAAAGATATTACTCTTACCTCAGATCCCTTATCACAAACTCTCAGCCATTCTTCCCCATTCCCTGACTCCTTGTTTTTAAGTTTGGATACAAAAGTTATTTGTCCTTTTTAGCTTTTTTGAGAATAGATTCATCTACTTTGGCACATTAAAACAAGCTATGTGCTATATCTTTCCTCCTTGTTCTGAATCCAAGGCGGGGTTCATCACCCTTGCTTCTTCCAGGGGCTCTAGAATGCCAGTTTCCTGCAGCACACCCAACTAATTCCCCCCAGATATGCTCATTAACCATAGCCTATAGCTTTTTCTGAGGAATTTGTGCAAATGATAGGTCAATAAAATACAAGGTCTACCACCTCCCCATTTCTATGCAAAGACATAATGCCGTTTGGTAGCAGAATTAACCATGTTTTCCAGCATACAATCTACCTGAACATTTCTTTTTCAAAAAAAAGGCACATTTCTGGTTTTGCTTCTCTAGCTTTGTCATGAGGATTGGCAAATATCTGCATTGTAAACTAATTCCTTTTGCTTTTTTCCAGCCTACTAAAATAACCACCTGCAGTAACACCAGCAATGGTTTTGTTTCCTGGCCAACCTCACACACGGCTGCATGTACAGCACTGTACCCTGCTGCACAGGTTTTGTTACCTCACAAAAATCTGTTTACCAATGTAAATACCTGTGCCTGACTGATACCCTGTCTGCTGAGCCTACTGTGCATATACAATGTTGTCAACAGAATTCCATACAATGCTGTTTCTCGTGTCAGTCCTAGCAGCACATATAAACTGTAATGCTACCCTAGATATGCTTATGAGAAAAGTATATGCCTTTTTCCTCAGCACTCCACTTTCTTCTTACTGTTCACGTAAGCTAAACTTTCTCAACAAAGCCTTGAAATACAGTTTTAATTTGTCAGCAGAGCATTTTTCCTCCAACTACATTCTCACAGCAGAGTCTGCTGAAAATGAATCCTTCTGGTGTACTATATATACACTCCTAGTGGTAAGGCTAATAAGTCAATAGTAAAGAGCTTACGGAACTAGAGTCCTCCAGCTGAATCACCAAATCTGAAAACCTCTGATCAGTACAAATGTTTATCTGCTGCAAATACTTCAAAGCAGTGCTGTTAACAATGCAAACAATCACAAGTGTTTGCAGCAGGATTCGGAACAGTTCCTCCACCTGGCTGTGCACTGACTGCAGTGTGATGCCGTGCCGTGCTGTTGTACCAGCCAGCACAGCAGTGCAATGACAGGGAAGGCAGCGTGCACAGGCAGCATCACCAGCTACACTCTGGTACTCTAAGACTTGTTCAGCAGCAGCTGCTGCAAGTTTTTGCTGATGCCTGAAGCAGCAGGCTGTTTTAAAGGGATGAAAATTCCTGGGTAGTCTAGTTTAGTAACTGCATTATCAGAACAAAGAACCACTGCCCAGAAAATACCGAGAGCCTGTTTATCAGTTCCTGTTAACATGAAAATACAATGTGCACTTCCCACTGCTAAGTGAGGAAAGGTTCTGGCAGCAGGCACTGAATCTTCATGCGTCCTCCAACAGAATTTATTGTGTAATTTTATTTATGTATTTTTTCCATGTAGTGGTATTTACAGCAAAGCTAGACAACGGTAATTGGAATGTCAAGGACCCTGCAAGCAATAGGTTTTTATTGTTGGTTTAGCTACTGAACAACTTTATATAGCTTTTGCTATAAAGCTTTTTTATATTGCTCTTGCTTGTAGGATGCACCTCCACTACAGGAAAATCTCACGCTGCCTTCTCATCCTGCATTACGTACATAGTATTAATGCTACCTGGACTTCACAGCTCCCGCACGCTAGAAAGCTGAAAGACATGTTTTGCTGTGCCAGACAGCCACTTAAGTTCTGCAATGAAACACCACACAAATTCACAAACAGTAAGACTCAATAACCCTAAGACATATCAGCTTTTCCAAAGCACAGCTGAATTCCATTCCTACCCGGCTAATGGTTCTAACTGGTGCCACTGTTTGCACTGTCTCAAGTCTCGTGGAGCCTGGCATTTCTCCTAGATCTCTAGGGTCTGGAATTCACTCGCTCTCTGCTGCTCTTACGGACTCTGAATTACTGAGGTACTTAAGCAGGTGCCTACCTTAAAATGCATAAGTAGTCCCACTGATTTTAATAGGATTATCAACGTTTTTCAAGCCAGTCATGTGCATAAGTACCTTTCCAAGGGCATCTATAGGTTTCTATAGCTCCCAAGAAGTTAGTCTCTTCTCAGAGTAATGCTAACTTTTGGAGAGGACGTAAATAAGGTGCCTGTGTGGTCACATAAAGATCAGGTGCATCACAGCTCAAGCGAGAATCCAGTGCTCCAGAGCTGTAAGATGCAGAGACACTATAAATATTATATAACTAGTGGAGATCCAAGAAAAATGTTAAGAACAGGTGCAGCACAGTAGCAAGTCAATTTCATTTGCCCATCTCTTTGTATTATACAAAAGACTCATGTCTTTATAAACATTTCAGTTTCTCAGCTTTCTTAATGTATTTCTGTCTAAGATATAGATCCAGAAAATACACGCATGAGAAAAAAAGTCAAAATGTCATAAACAAGACAGAACCACCTATATTTTATGTAGTCTGGCTAGGCAGCTATTTGTCAACAGAGAAAACAAATTGTTCAAAGAGAGCAGATCCTGGGAGATCTTCCGAAAAGATCTGTGAGCTGTTGCAAAAAGTCCCCAGAATTCAAAAAAAAAAAAAAAAAAAACACAAAAGAAATGTCTTCCACCTACAGGGTGATTAAAGAAAACAAGTACAAAATACAAAGCTGGTCTGCCAATGTATTATTAGCCAAACAGTACAGTATATATATATATATGTATATATATATTTATGGGATGCTTAATTTTTACCATTCTAAAACACCAACGCAACCAGCTACCTTACTGTGATCTGCTTTAACAGTCAGCATTTTGAGGACTCATATTTGGGTTGAAAATTTTAAATAAAGTTTGAAGGAATTTTCTCAATATCAAATCTAGCCTAGAGATTATTATCCTCGTTTTGAGCTATAAAAGAAATCTAAGATGTGGTTTACTGGGTAGAGTACGGGACTGGAACAACTATCATACTTCTTGCTGACACCGACCTTCTGTGTCACCTCATCAAAACCCCTTGATCTGTGAGCCAGATAAAAACAATCCTTTATTACCTCTCCAGATCATTAAAAGGCTAAAACTGCCTTTGTTGTCTTCGAGCTCCTCTCAGGAGGAGTTATTCTGTAATCAGAGCAGCTGTAAACAACTGAGTAGATCCAGAAATAAACCTTTCCTACATCACTTTATCGGCACCTAGTGGGCACTGAGGCTGCTGCAGGTCATTTACATGTTATTTACATATAAACACCTCAGCCCCTGGACTTTGCCAAAAACTCAGTTTACATCTGTTGGGTAACAACAGCCACCATTTAACACAGACATCGTAATAAAAAGCATACTTGCAAACAAATGATAAAACCAATGGATTCAAGTTTTAATCAGGTAAATGAATGAAACTCATAGAGTGCATTTTGCTACCTGCATTCATGCTTAGGCTGTAACTTAGAATTGGTACAGATCCTTTATCAGATACACATTCCCTTCTAAGTATTAACATACTATCTATTAGTAGAAAACTCATAGAAGGATTGCCACCTACACTACAAATATCCTGGCAGAAGATCTCAGTTATAACATATGTTTTACTAGACTCCCTACGTGAGCAATATATTGATAGTTAAGTGCCTGGAAATGACCTCCCTTTCTTATGCAAGAATATCTGCAAGAAATCAGTTCTTTCAAAACTGAGAGCATGCTAGAAATTTCAACATTGCTCTACTATGCAGCAAGATTATGCTGCCTTCCATACTGCCATTTGTATCTTGGAGCACTAGCATTCCTATTATGCTAGGGGAAAAAAAAAAAAAAAAAAAAAAGTAAAATAACCTCTGAGCCAAGAGATGTCTGCTGCACTATGAATGTTAGAGCAGGTCACAAGCCATTTGAATTCTGCTCTCCACTATGGCAGGAAAAAAAAAGCTGAATGGAAATGTCTAGCAGAAAACAGAGAATGTAACCAATATGGGAAAATGGCACATGGAAAAATCATAAAAAGTTTCTCAAAGTCAGTTTTCACTGTTTTTTATTTCCCTGTGAATACATGTGGAATTTGCTCTCAGATGTAACATGCAACTCACTATTTTCCTGCAAATCTGTAAAAGCCTCCAGGAAGTATCTGACTAATTCCCCACCCAGCACTTATCATCAAGCTGTTTCTGTCATATAAGCTAAAATATTTCTACTCTTTTAATGATTTCTGCCTTTCCAAAAGCTTTTCAATATGACAGACTCGGCTGGCATTTTCTAAATTTAGATTTAACAAGGGCGAGCTTCACATCCCTACGTGTGCTTATTAAGAGTACCAATGAATATTCTTGTGAGTAATGTGTCAGCTCAGATAAAAATCAAAAATGTAGCATTTTTTATAATAGTTCTTGTTAATTATATATTTAGCAAATCTGTGTGTTATCATTCCTTTTATTTACCTGCTGCTATTTTTACTATAGTTAATGTTTATCTTAAATTGCTTCTGATCCAAGCAGGTATATGAAGTGAGCAGTTGGTTGATAGCCCAGGAGATGCTCAAAGGACTGGTCTGAAGCAGTGAAAAGGTACCCCAACAAGGACAGTTTGAAAATTACTGCCACCTAGCCGATATGTGCAAAAATGGGATGAATACTACAGAAAAGCTAACACTCAAAGGTATGTCTAGCACACAATACTGCCTCTGTAATGGGAAAACCCAAATCAGAGAAGCGTGGAAAAGAAACATTCATGACCATTAAAGCAAAGTGAATCTGTCTGACTATTTAGTCAGGCAGGAACCACTCACAACGAGACTGCAGGCTGGACGTCTGGCCTTGCTAGGTCAGACCGTCATCAGGCAGACAGTGCTTCAAGCAGCAATTTCTGATGGACATGAGCTAGTGGGAAAATGGTAGCTGAAACAGAGAGATCCTTGCAAACCTGCATAACTCTCCAAGGAAAAATGGAGGGAAATAGATCCCGGTCTAGCCTAAGCAGTGGCTGGCTGATGCACGATACCAGTATAGACTCAGACAGAGGGTGTCTCATGTTGCAGGCGAAGTGGGTTTTGTCCATTGCCAGATTTAAGAGGGTGAGACTGAGATGGAAGCAGTTGTCATGGGAGACGAGTGAGGTGCCTGACCCACAGAGGTGTGGAATACTGCCAGTTTTGGCAAATGGGCTCAGCTACAGAAAAGTTGGAGGCTATTCTGGCCTTGGAGGGATCTGCAAGCCTGTGCAGAGGAGTTACTACAGCCACAGGCTCAAAAAGTGGTGGAAGCACATAACAAAATAAAACATAAGCGTTAAAAGAGCTTGGCTGCATTTGCTTCTCCACACACAAAGCACCGCAAAGATTCAGGAAAACAAACACACAAACAAACAACAAAACACACAAGAATAACTAAAGCTTCCATGACAAACAGCTGTCTGCCTGCATCAATTCTGTACAAACTCCAACCCAGAGGACAACATCTGACTCCTAGCAGTCACTATAGAAATTCAAAATAAAAAACAAACAAAAAAATTCAACACTCAAATCATCACGCTTCCCGTGGACAAAAGCTGATATCTGCATGAAGAGTTATTCCCAGAGCTACACATGACCAGCATCCTTCCTTCAGGTGGTTTCACAAAAGGATAACCTTCCCCTCCCTCAGACAGTGATGCTGTGCCAAGGGACAGCATCCAAGTTAGCTATGGTTCAATCAGTGACAAATCTTATAGCAGGATGTCCCTCAGTAATACCATTTCCATAATCATAATCTGTTCTTCTTACAGATCTTTCACAGTATGATTGACTTTCTCTACAGAGCGCCTCCTCTACAATTGCAAGAGCCTTTGAATCGATCCAAGATTGTACCAATCTAAATAATTACAGCAGTTGTCGATAAAGTACTGCCCTAAAACAATGTGCTGCCTCCACGATATCTGGACATTTTTTATAGTCAGAGGAGATTAACAGGAGAGAGAAGACAACTTTTAATGCAGTTACAAAATGAGAATGTTACTTCCCTCATTTAAATACATAAAGCATATACATATCTACCACCATCTATTCATAAATTAAGTAACTGAGAAAGAACAAACCTAAAGCCCACATCTAGGAGCAAAAAACATTTCTCCTGTAGTGCTGACTCACAGAAATATAGCAATGTCAAAGACTGCAGCAAGAGTTTAAAAAAAAAAAAGGAGTAAAACGGCTAAATAACATTGCTAGCCCATATTTTGCATACTAACACCAGAAGGTCACATATTTAAGAACTGAACTTAGGAAGCAGATAACATTCATCAAAAACATGGAAAGCATATACTTACCTGCAGTTCCTAAGCTTAGTAGCACAGCAACCCAGAATATCCAATAGACAATCAGAATCAGAAAGGTCCAAAGTGGTTGGAAAAGGAGGAAAGGGATTCTGCTTATCATTTTACCAACAATCTGGAAGAGTTGTACAGTGAACTGAAGCTTCTTTCTCAGCACAAGTATAAGGGAAAGCAGAACAATCTGTTACAAAAAAAAATAAAACAAAAAATAGTACTTTTTTTTCTTTCCTTAAGGAAAGTAGGAGAAGTTGTCACATGTGAAATTTATATTCCATAAACACTGCACTGGAAATGCTTTCTAAGATGCTGCCTATATTATCAAGGAGTCTGTGAATTAAAATCATTAGTTTCATGAAATTAAATCTATGAAATATTACTATTGCTGCTTTAAAACAAAATATGACTCAACAAACTGCAGTTTACCCAATGGAAACAGTCCGTTTTACTTTACAGCAACAAACATAAATGTATGTTTCATGCTACACTTTCAGATACTCTGTATGTAATGAACATGTAAATCTCCTTCCTACTCAAGTCAGCTTGCCACCATTCACAATGGTAGGAGGTCCAGTCCTTTTCTGCAGAAAGTAACAGTAGCGAAACTAAATTGATGTAAGAGCTCTGTATACACTGAAGCAAAGCAGACAGAAGATGAAACCTCCACTTAAATAATTCAGTTTTCCCAAAGTACAAAAACAAATTCAAAAAACAACAAGGTGTAAACACCACACTTCACAAGTTTTTTGTATTTGACAAGGAACTATGAACAACATTTAAAAGACAGGCTGGAATTCATAAAATAATTAATGCAACCAGAGGCAATTGCTTCACCAGTTTTCTTGCCTGTTCTACAAAGATGCCACCAGCCATGAGAGAAGAGCAATCTGCAGCAGACACTCCCACTGTCCTATCAATGAAAGTCAGTTGCATACAAATAGACCTTTTCTTACCCTTTTATTATCAACAGAACTTAATAGGTAAGTTCGTAACTTACAGAGGATATGAAAAAAATCTGATCTATAACATTTATATTTTCGCTATAAACTCTTAGACTGTTCATAACCAGTGAATTCTGGTCTATGGATCTGCTTTAAGAAAACAAAAATACAAACATTTTGACAAATGTCTCATCAAGTACAAATGGTACACTTGTATTGAACAACGACTAACACTGCAATATCAGAGTGAAAAAAAAAGTCTTTAAAAGTTGAAGGCAAAAGTCAGGTTTTCTGTTGGAAAACAAGGTCAGTGAGAGAAAAGCAGAACTTACCACTGTAACTTGAGGCCTACACACTGCTGCCTGTGCTTCACCTACCCCTTTCATTGCCTGAAAGAGCCACCCCCCTCTACTTCTGCCACGGTGGGCTGAATGCACAGATCTCATTCATGAAGAGCCAGAGCCACTCTGTTCATTTGCCGTGGTTCTCCAACTAGCCGATGCACAGAAGAATGGGGATGGAACATAACTCCTGCATTTCTACAAAACTGGTGCTAATGCTGCTTATACAAGTGTGACACAGCCCTGTGATGAAAAATGAAATTCACAGTGAAGATATAAAACCGTTTAAACAAGTGTAAGCAGATCTCATCATTGATTCTCCTTTTCAAATTTGAAATGGATGAGGAATTGTTCTTATTGCTGCAGAACCCCTGTAGTTCAATTTTTTTAGTTACAGCCTCCATCACTGCTTACTGTAAACTACTACTTACTGTAATTATTGTAGAGAAGATAGCATATCCAAGCAGAAATTTTACATTCTCCTTTTGTGTTTCCAGTTCAGTGCTGGGATCATTTCTGTAGTCATAGTAGAGCCACCAGAGGACACCTGAGACAACTGCAGCAAACAAGCAGTGTGAAGGTGGGCAGTGCTCCCCAGGCTGCAGCATGCAGCGCCCCACCTCCCTCCTGAACTTCTCACCCTTCTGCCTATACCCAGCTCCACTCAGGAGCTGTCATGTACGAGAGGTACAGTAGTATCCATGATCACAAAGAAAATTCACATCATGGTCTGTTAGTCTGAGGTACAAACCCAGAAGAAGGAGCTAGGCTAAAACTCAGCCATATAATTTTGTTGAGGAAATAAGAAGCTAACTGTTATGGAATGACAAGCATTAGCTGGACATATTCCTACAGTTCTCCCTTTCCAAAGCAGGCAATATAAAATTTCACTAAACTTTCTGTGAAACAGCAGCATTTTCGTAACTGCACTCATCTGCCAAAAGAAATGTCATTTCCAGGCATCTATAAATAACTAAATCTTATCATCACCCCGACACTTAGCAGCTGGAACAACACAGCCAGATGTTGGCATCCCAAGGCAAGCAGGACTCGGTTTGGAAATGGCTGGGGTAAGCTTAAGGTTACGGAGGAGGGCCATGGAGAAAAGGGACAGCTGTTTGTTCAGCTGTCTCTCCTTCAGTTCAGTGAGATGAGTGCTTTAACTACGCATACACTAAAAAGTAAATATACTTACATAACAACCCAAATATGACCAGCGCAATCAAAGTATGGACCAGAAGTGTCCGAATGAATCTGAAGGTTAAAACCACTATAAAACAGAAAGCTGAAAAATACACAAAGTTTATTATTAGTGTTACCAACTATTTAACTCTTATTTATGTTATAGTTAAGTTTAAGGTTCTTGTAGAATTTGGGCTTTTACTTTTAAAGGGTGGTCTCAAAAGCAACAGCACGTACTGAAGTTGGTGACCTTTTTAACATTTAAAACAGTTATCTATAACTTTCTAGTAAAGAGTTTATAACTCAAATATTTCACCTTGGGAATAACTGGCTATTCAATAATATTATATATAAAGACTAAAGTTAAAATCAAAATGTTAAATCTAATGTTATTGTTCTTTTTATCAACAATTTCTTAGTCCCGTGAAAAAAGGTATATGATCATATCTAGGAACACAGAATCTGGTATTTGCTAGCACTGAATTTCACCAGTCTATGCCTCCTGATAAGAAACAAGAACTCTTCCTTGAAAACATCTCTGCCCAGAAAATGTAAAAAAGGTCAGTACTTTTAAATAAAAAACTATAAAGGTCATAGAAACATTTTAAACCTCACATTCTAATTGAATATTATTCACTTTTTATTTATAACCTCATTTTTTATTTGTAACCTTACCTAGTGCAAGGACACTCAGTCCTATCACAGTATCTCTTCCTGCCAATATTCCACTCAGAATTCGGTGAAAAACATCCATTTCATTAACCATACTTATTAAGACAGATGCATATTTGGAATAGCATTCAGGATGTTGTGGAACACACCGATTAAATAATGGAAAAGATTTACTGGAAGGTTAAAAAAAAAGACGATGAAAAATGTTTTCATTACTGGACAAACAGTTTCAAACTCACAGCAATCTATTCCACGGCTCCCTTTCAAGCCCTCTGCAGTGCCCTTCCAGCAGCCTCAATACACTTTTGCAGCAGCATTCAGACAATCTGCAACCTACCAGTTATCCTCCCTGCCTGGGACAAAACCTTACACACTGAGTCTGACACAACAGGACAACGGGCATGGCAGTTGTCTGTTACAAGCAGCCAGACAGTACTTTTATGCTCCATCTGCAAAATAAACTCTTGGCAGCACCATGCCTGTGTTGCTGTGCTAGAACATCCATTCAGGACCAACCTGGAGAATTACTATCTCAATCACCATCAGCACGTACCTCCTATCCTGTTTCTAATCTGGCTTTGTCTGCTTTGCTCCCATGTGTTTATGGGAAACCTAAACTCCTGCTAGCATGGCTGTAAACTATGTTGTTGTAGATAATTCTAGACCATGAACATTTTGCATCATTTTGAGGATATTTAAGTATTCTCAAAGCTGCTCCAAAACAATGTTTGTAATGTACAATTACCACCACCTAATATTTACATATGAAGTTATGTCTCAGAGCCAGCTTATTGAATTTATCATCCTATTTTGGCAAGGCCACACTACAACAAAGAGACATCCCTACCTAAAAAGGAGAGGTCTCTCTGACTAGCTTTGCTGCTACTGTGAAATGTTACTGTGTGAGATGTATATGGTAAGTTCCTTGCCAAATAAAAAAAGGCTTAAAATGTCAAAGAAATAAGTAAAATACGCCATATTTTTCATCAGTTTATATGCCTTTCTTTGATCCGCTGTACAATGCTTTTATATGTCTCCTGCTCTCTTCTGTGTTTTTTCCCCCCTCTATTTTCTCTTGTTCAGAGCAGTAGAGGACTTCGCTCCGCAGACATGGAGATTCCAATTCTTTGCTGTATTTTCATGACAGCGGAATTGAAAATCATGGGTTTAAGGATTTTGACTCACTAATTTGTAACAAATTAAACAATACAACTAAACTGACATCTGTACTTTTTACATGCTGCAGAATGTTAGATGCTGACATCCACAGACCTGCGGTTCAAACCAGTTGGCTATGAAATGATTCTGACAGAATATTTCTGGGTTCAGGGTAACAAGCCAGGTCTGAGAGCACAGCTCCTCTTCCTTGGCATTGAGGGAGTCTGTGCAGAAGATAAGCTGCTCCTCATGAGGAGTGTTCTGACCCTGAGCTGGAGAGGAAGCATCTCTAAAGGGTGGAGGGATGATGAGAATGCAGTCCTTGTTCATTCTGTGGGACATGGCGAGTTCACAGGCACACACAGCACCAAAATTCTGATTGTAAAGCATCATGTCAGCTACAAAATGTGAGGAACTAAGAACCCTTAAGAAGCTGCTTGGACTCAAGTGTGTTGTAAAGTACCCATTAATTCTTACCTTGGTGGAACTGGCAGTGTGGGACACAACTCAGCTGCCTTTGGATTTAGTGTGTAGCTGGAAACGTTCAGGTTGTAAACACAAAGACAAGAACCTAAGAAATAAGAGAAATGGTAGCTTAATATTAGTTATAATTTTGGAAAAAAATACATTAAGTTTTGTTCGCACTTCTGCTTTAATCCCTTAGCAGGTCATATTCATCACTGATATTCTTGTAGGAATGTAGATTAGAATTAGTTACCCATTAGAATTAATGGGTAAATCTACAGCAACCTCTACAGGATCTTTTGTCTTCTTCTACACTTAACTTCAATTACCGTTTACAGATCTTCCTTGAGGGCAGGCACACTGTTTGTTCCATAGTACAGTACTTCAGCTTTAAACTCTTGCTCCTTTAGACAACAGAAAAGCCTAAATTGACACAAGCTACAATAGAACCAGGTCCCTCATAATTTAGAGCAGAATATACATCTATCCAGAAGCTAAATATTTTCTGGACTCTGCCTAAATAGTGCCAGGTACTCTGCTCCATTATATAATGCTTCTAGGATAGAAATGCTGGTTGTACTCAAGCCATTCAAAATGCAACACTGCCCTCTCCCTTGAGATGAATATGCAAGCAGTTTTAGCATGTGGATGGAATTTCATGCCATTTTATTCAGTTACATTGAAATTACTTACACAGTATCACAGGTGTTCACAGCTTTCTGTACATAACCAAATGATGACAAAATATCCCAAAATGAAATTAAAACAAATGTTGTCAATTTAAACAGAAACCCTTGCCAAAAAATCAACAAAACCAAAAAGAACGGAATTCTGACCTCTAATAAAAATAGCCACTAGTATCCGTATGGTCTGCAGTTCATGCGTACACTGTGGCAATAAGGGACGGGCCACAGGTTACTTTACTTACATGTTGGAAATGAATAAACTGGAGCTGCCTCTTTTGCACAATAGCTACTTCTGACATCATATTCATCTTGAACAGTAGAATATTAAAAAAAAAAAGTCTAGGTAAAATAGCAAATTTGGGGCTCTGATGTCAAAAAAGGCAACACTGCCTATGTATATCTAGAATTAATAATTCCACCATGGTTTTAACCAAATTTAAAAGAACCACTTAGGCAAGTTTCTCAAATAGCACGTAAGCTCTGTTCACATACAGGCATCCCCAACAAACCAATTTAGTTCATTCTCAGCAGCCAGTTTTCTGCTGGATAATCTCAGCATTGTGCAGGAATGAATCAACAGCTTTTAAATTTGCAAAAGTGACCTGTAACAATCCTAGAAACTATGGCTCTGAAATAAAGCAGAGACGAGGTTTTATTTTCTGTTGCCATGGACTGCTCAGGAAATTAATGGTAAGAAATGACTCCCTAGGGTAGCAAACAGAAGAATAATAAAGTGAAATCTTCTCAACTGTTCTACAGATACATTAGATACTCATGTTCCCTGTTGCACACCATTGTTCCTTGCAAAACTCTGGAGGTCTTCCAAAGAGTTGAGCTGCTCTTGTGGACAACTAGACACGCACAAGGAAACTGAACTGATTTTGAGGCTTTGCATTTCCAGGCTGCATGAATTCAGAAAGAACACATACCTAGAAAGACAAAAAGATCCTCATTTCAAAAAACAAGCTTTCTGGTTTTCATAGGTTTAAATTCTGAGTCTTCTTTCCATCTTTTTAAAGTGCTACAAAGCAGATGAAACTTTTTCCACATAAAATGAAAAAAAAATGGAGTTTGAAGGCTAAAGTTAGCAAGCAACTTGTGAATATGCTATATTTTTACATTTCATTTTAGGTTCTTAAATGGAATCAGGAACTTCCAAGGTGGGTGTCGCTCTACAAGCATTCTCTTACACAGCAGTCAACAGAAGGACTGGCAACTTCAGCTTTTTTTAAACTTCCATAAATTCAAACACTTGTCTGTGTAGAATGACTGCTGGTCTGTCTGAAGTCCTATTTAAGACCCTATCTAAGAAAAAATCAGCATAAAGCATAATGATGTAGTACCTTTTCAAATTCCATCTTAAATTTTTAGCTTCCATTACCATTTTGCACAATTCTTATTTGCTTTTAAAGTTAAGCATGTATTTATATATGTATGAAAATGATTGACAACTAGATTATATATATCGTATGAAGTTATGCTCCCTTCTTAAACATTAGATTTATTTAAACAGTATCTGACGTACTTACTTTTTATTAGTCATGTCCTGTCCAGAAAGGGGTGCCCCTTTTACAGGAGTGTTCTTCCTACCACATATGTTCCCAAAGCTGTCATATCCAAGCACAAGTCTTTCTGCCGCACCAGCCATCACAGCATAGCCAGTTATAAACATCTATTAAAACATTTTTTTTTCCATGTGAAATCATGCTATGATAGCCTTTCCCTCCCATTCAATAAGTATTTCTTTTAACACATGCATTATTGTCTTGTGAAGGCAAACAGTTAAATCTAAAATTCAGCCCTTTGAACCAGGCCAGACCAAGTCATATGGACAAGTTAAGCCCTGTTGTCTCCTCAGACCCTTCCTTTATCTTGCAGAAAGCGGACAGTACGCGAATTTATTTAGCAGAACATCACAAGCAAAGAAAGATAGGACCTCAGATTAAAATGATTGGAAAGAAGTAGTAAGGTGCTAAATCCTGCCTCTGCCAAAGTTCCTGTGTGTCCCTGGGCAAGGTCACTCAGGTGGTAATTTTCCATATGTAGCCACTGCTACATATTTCAGAGTGCCCTTCAAGACACACCTGGGCACTACATCTGCTGAAATGTTGAGACATTGCAGCTGCTATTGAAGTGTATTTTAAAAACAAAGACTAATTAAAATTCAGGTTATCTTAAATTTCAGGAAGGAGCATTCTTTACCACATGTGAAAAACCTCAAGAGAACTACATAGTGAACTCAGGAGTGACTGCGCCGAGCTTTTGGATGCTCTGTTGCTTCACCACAGCCCCAGTGCTGCAGGTCAGCTCCCAGTATACCTCAGGGGCAGCTAAGCACCTCTGCTACCTGATTAGCAGCAACACTTCGTCAACATAAGATGCTCTGCCTAGGAATGCAGCAGATACCCTGCTCGTGTACCCCATGAGGGCCAAAATGCCCTTTGAAGAGAACCTTTCCAAGTACCAAGAAGCAGTAATTCTGTGAAGTTGAAGTCTTGGGCATTTTACCCAACAGCTTATTTACAGCTTTCCAGCTGAGGAACTTGGTGATTTAATCATCTACTCGGTCCCATGGGGCGTAAAATACATTTCGCATATATAAAGCACAAAACAGTTGGCTCTATGGCTGCATGCAAATTGTTGGCAGCAGCAAGTCTTCTCTGTCCCTCATTAACCACTGCTTCTTTGCATAGAGTAGCTGAGTATCAGCTGTGCTGGGGAGAGATGGCACACACATATCAGACCCAGCACAACTGCTTTATTAGTTAAGGTTTAGTGCCTTTGTTATTCTACTTTTAACACTCATGACTAAAGATGGTATCTGGGCAGAAACTGAGTCTCATACACAAACAAGTAAATGTGCCTCCTTAGTTCTCACTGTAGTCTCATTTGTGCTTATGTGTTTGCACTGTAACTATTTAAATAACACTATTTAAATTATGCTCACATGTTACTGTTGTCTTAACATGGAGAACTTTGTAGAGACTCCATAATTAAAGTTGGCATACTACTTGTGTGTGTGATGCTTGTTATTTTCAAGTTATTTTCAGATCCAGTTTCTTTACAAAGCAAATACCTGTTTGTTTTTTGTTTGTTTATTTGTTTTGTTTTTCAGGAGAAAAAAGAAAAAAAGGAGCTGACACTGAAATATGCTTTTAAAAAAAAAAAAGTGGTAAACCTTCTAAAGATAGAAGTTACAGGACCATTGCCATCAGTGCAGCAAGCACTGTGTGCACATGAATTTTTTTAAGGTACAGAATGCTGCATACAAGCCATAAATATTGTTAAGCAATAGACAGCTGTATGACTGCCGGAGGGGTGTGTCATTCTCTACACGTCAATGATACGCATTTCCACAGAGCCAATAGCGTGATTTTTTTTCCCCACTATGTGAATAAATCAGTATTACCTTTTTTTTTCTCAAGTCTTTTAAAAATAAGATTAAACAAAAGTATTTTACAGAAATTGAACAGTAAGAATAGTAGCAGAGAAAACAAACAAAAATCCTAAATCCTCACCGTTTGACAGGTTTAATATTTGGCATGCCTTACACTGATCGAAGCGCCAAGCATAGGGCAGCACATCTAAACAAACAAACCCACCAACCACCCTGACCACAAAGTTCTGCTTCAGCTTATGCAGCGCTCAAGATGCATATATGCTCTTCTGCATGAGCTTCCATTAAAGCAGTGATTAGGAATTGAATCTAAAACTGATTTAATAGTGTATTCATTCCTCAGTAGCCTCAGAGACGTCGTGAAAAAACACTCATGCTTAAGAAAGACAAAGCGTGCTCCCCAGAGCTTGCGTGCTGCTCCAGGCGCAGGGCAGAAATCCAGCTGACAGACCAAGAGAGACATGTTGCAGGACAAAAAGGTGCAGAGAGTGAAATAAGTAGAAACGAGAGTCCGGTGGGAGCCTGATTAGCTCACAGAAAGCAGACTCCGAGTATCCCAGCCCTGCACAGGACCCGAAGGTGCGGGCAGGCGGCGCGGTGCAGGAGCCCCCCGGGGCAGCAGTGCCCCGGCCCCGGCCCCGGCCCCGTGCTGCGGGGCTGGGCTGCCCCCGGGCAGGGCACGCTTACCGAACCGGCCCAGAAAAGGAAGAAAAGGAGCAGCCACAGAGGGTCCGTGCACTTTCTGTAAACGACCGGTCTCCATTCCCTCAGTTCAGCAACGCATTCTCCAGAATCCTAAAATGAAAGAAAGCCGACTGTGAAATCAGGAAACAGCCTGAGATCCTCTGAAAGCACCTAAAATGCCCGACACCTGGCAGCTCTCTGCCCTCACGAGCCTGGCAGCTCACCCACCCCACGGTGCCGGCCCCCGGCTCACCTGCCGCCGGCCCACAGGCCGCGCCATGCTCCCTCCCTGCCTCCCTCCCTCCCTCGGGCCGGGCCGGGCCGGGCCGCTCGGGGGCACCACCGGGGCCGAGGGCCGGGCCCTGCCGGGAGGAGCGCCCGGGCCGGGCAGCGGCACCGCGGTGGCTCCTCCTGCCGCCGGGGAAAGGGCATTTTCCCTCCCCTCGCCGGGGCAGCCGCCGTCCCGGCGGCCTTGCCGAAATGCAGACCGCCATGGGGCCCGGCCGGCTTGCGCTGGGGCTTTGTGTTGTCTCTTTCTGTTTGTTTGTACAGTTACATTACGCTGGCACTGTAGATCGCACACGCCTCTCAGGGATGTGCACATGAATTTAGCATGCACAGAAATAACCACCCCGAGTTAGATCAGCAGCTGTGAGTGGAATGGCCAGGGAATGCAGAAAGCACCACCCGGCTGCAGCCAGCCCTTTCCCGTCTTTTTAGATAGATGTTCAAATCAATAAAGTAGAGAAAGCTAATATTACAAATCAAAAAGATAAAGTGCATTATTGTTCTCTACCTTGACAGTCAATGGAATAATGTGCTTTTTCAGCAATACAAAATCAGCAACTGCAATAAAACAGAATTATATTGAAGCTGTCGTGAAAAGCCATGGAAGAGTTGGTCTGTCTTGCACAGGATGGAGAGCACAAGACTGGCTTTGCTTAGAAGAAAGAATTTACCTCAGTGTTCAAATTCACATGCAGAATGAAATACTGGTGACAAACTAGCACAGATACAGGTAAATTGACAATACCAGAAACTCAGATTTAAAAAGAGAGAGAGAGAGAGAAAGAAAAAAAAGAGAGAGAGAGAGAGAGAGAGGGAGAGAGAGAATATGAATCTCTGTCCCAGAGCATTTCAGGCTTTTTCTATGCTAACTGAAAATAAATACATTTTTCAAAGAGAAGAAAATAAATATAAATAAATTAATAATAATAAAAAAGTTAACCTGTGCAGTTTCTTAAATTAACTTTTTCCACTGATTTAATAGGGCTCAGCACAATTCTGCCTTATATTTAACCCCCTGCACAAGTGGTTCAGACCAAACATGACAGATAGGGTTGCTAAAAACTGTTTTAAAAAGGGTTTTCTAAACCTTTTAATTTCCAGGCAATTCACAGCTGTCTTTATCAGCATTGTACCTTTTAATGTTCATGATTCATCAGTTTGTAGAGTCTTCGTAATGTAGGAAACTTAGAATGAAGTTTTAAGATTTAATACATCTTGCACAAGTTATTTTGTGTCTGTAGAACCTAAATAGACATATAACTTTTCCTTCACTTTGCTGTACTGCACTCTAAAAATACATGAAAAAAGAAGTCATCTTCCATCAAAATACCAATGTGACATTTCATGTAATGCTCTTTTTTTTTTTTTTTTTCTGTAAGAGAAATTTAGTGTTTTGATCATATCAAGAAAAATAACCAAAATTATTAATAACTTGTAACTTGGACAGAAGGAGTAACCTCCTTGTCTGATTGAGAAAAATCATTCTGAAAAAACAATGCTAAGGATGAAGGCTAATACTAGAACTGCTGGCTTGCTAATACTAGCTTTCATTGTTGATTTGCCCCTTTCTGAAGAGCAAATGTTTTTAACAAATTCAGATTCCAGGCAGATGAAGTTCATGGAAAACCACCAGAATCAAGTGTAAGGTCTGCTTTTACCAAACAGCATCAGAAATAGTGTATTCTTTCAATCAGTATGTGAAAGTTATCTTATATTCGATAGCAAATACTTCAGGATTATAACGGGATATAAATATAATATATATATATATATATATATATTAATTTAATAGTGTTTCTGTTGTTGTTCTGTTTTGTTTTTCCTGAATTTTAAACATGCCCGAATCAAACCCTTATTGCATTTAGTAGTAGCAGGTGGGTAATTCTGTGGCATGTCACCAGGTGGTGCTCTGCTCCTTGCTTAGAGTTACAGGACAGCATTCCGGACTTGTGCGAAGGGCTTTATGCAGACTACAGTAAATAATAACAAATGAGGATTTTCATGTTACAATTGAAGAGGATACCCCTAATCAAGGCTCAGATTTTATAAGGGTTTAAAAATCCACATCCAAAGTGTAATAATGAAATATTTTTCTTGTTATTTGTCCAATCCTGCCAGTGCCCAAACGGACTGGGTCCACTAATGACTTTGAAGTTTCTGCCCTACTGTTTTCAGGTACCCATAATGAGCTTTGGGGTGGTGGCTGCCAGCGCCTCACCTTGCACAGGCCCTGAGGTGCCTCACAGCTGAACGCAGCCAGAACTCGAGGGCTGGCACCCCTCAGCACAGGAGCTCGCTTCAGAGCATGTTCTCACTGCCACGTGCCTGCCCTGAACACCAGATGGGGTGAAGCCTGCAGAATTTGTACTGGCAGCTGCAAAGGTTTCTTGCTTTTGTAACAGCTGAATGGCTGGCACTGGAGCAGTAGGGGACTGGGCTCTGTTCTGGGTCTTTTTCTGGTCTGTATGTTACCTGAGGCAAAGAATTCCCTGTATCTCTTTAGTGTGAACGTTTCTATCGACAGAGAAAAGTTGAGTTTTAGAGGACTGGAAAGAGCCTGGTTCTGCAGCTCGGTAGTTTCAGCACTTAATGGGGAATGGGGATTTTTAGAATTGATAATTAAGGCACTGATCCACTTTAACCTAAGTAGAAACAAGATAAAATAAAGCTTTGGAAAAAAAAAAAAAAAAAAAAGAGTACTGGATTCCAGTACTGTTCCTTTTCTGAGAGCACTAATGACTTGGCTACAGAGGTGTACACTGACTTGTGCCCTCTGATGAGAAGCGTAACTTGGAGCCTTTGGTTTCCATCCCCTGGGCCACATGCACAAGACACTGACTTTTATAATATGCTACGTTTAAGTCTTTTATCCAACTACAGCCACTTTCCTGGGAGATTGGTATGATATGTGTCTGCATTCTTCTAGGAGTCTTCACTGCTCTATGGAGGATGCACTGCTCCCTGGAGGATGCACTGCTCCCTGCAAAGATAAAAGCTACTTAAAATCCTAATGCTTCATACATTCTGCTGTAACCAGGCACTCATGGACCCTGTCCTCTGTTTTCAATTCACAAAGTCACTCAGAATACATATAGAAGAAAAAATCAAGCTTCCTGACTCCAAGCCTCTGCTTTAATCACAAGGTTCTTGTTATTACTTATGAGCATGGTGGTTATTCACAGAGAATGAGTCCTGGTGCTGCCAGGACAGCATTCACAGCTCCTCTTTCTTACCAGGAAACTTACCTGGTTAAAACTGGGGCAGGAATGTGGGTTGGGAGAAGGGTTTGAATGAGAGCATGGCAGTTCCTTGCTAGACTGGTTAAGTGAGATGACTACCCCTATCTGTATCCCCTTCTGGGTCAGAAAAGAAACAGAGACCAATTACTTTAATAGCAGGACACAGCAACTGAGAAAGTCAATCTAAAAGCAAATATTTTCTGCCTAATTAGAGAAGGTGCAGCTGGGCACAATTTCCATTACTCTCAAATAATCTTGCTTATGTACAGTACTTTTGCAAGTAGGCACTATTCTCCAGATGTAGCTATGTTACTTGGAATATCCTGAACTGAAACACCCAGAAACACAATGCCACCTATTATGTTGAGGCTGTTAGGTTTTTTGACAATTTCTACTCTAAAACCTCTTGTTTACGACCTTGCCTTACTCGAACCATTCAGCCTGAAATTTCTCATGGCAGGTGCTAAAGATTTTTGGACAATTTCAACCCAAACTATTCAGTCATTTCTAAGAATGAAAGTAGAAAAGCAGACATTATGATATCTGTAGTAAATAAATGCGACACCTTTTTTTGGTATTAGTAAAGAAATTCTTACCCATGTTTTGGATCAGAGATTTGCTGAACAAGAAGTTCTTTCTGTTTCTTCTCAAGTCTGAGAAACATCATATGCGTTTGCCCAAATTACTTTGATAAATCACACTGTAGGCTCAGTCAACTTGCTAAGTTTCACAAAGAAGCTAAGGAGTCTGAAGACTGTGTCTGCATGGTATATTCCTGAGTCTGCTTGACACTGTTTAGACTACCCTGAAATGTGCTTCTGACCTGCCACATACAAACACTTTTTTTGTGTCTCAGTGACTGTCTTGATATTGTCCAGGTACAGTAGTCAAAGAAAAATGCTGAGATGAACGTAAAGAAAAACAAACGCAGTGATTGTTTTTGGCAAACAGCTTCTTGCAGATGATAAGGAATACCTTGGTGAATAAGGAAAGCAGGGCCTAGGAGCTCTCTGCAAGGGATCAGAGGATTCAAAAGGTCAGTGTCAGAAGGGCTCATTAAAGCACCTAACATATAGCCCTACACAATGGGTCATTATGCCTCTGTTGAGGCACAGTAGCTGTGACTGACTGACAGCCAGAAGTGGCTCAGCAAAGACACCAGAAATAAGTCTTAGAGCAAAATGGGAGACAGTGATAGCAGGGGAATGACAGCCAGAAAGATGAGGCCGACAGAGGGCCATCAGAGGGACATCGTGCGGGATTGGAGAAAGGGTTAGGAATGGATGTGAATGAGTCTGAAAGCCAGGAGGGAGACAGATGGAAAAGTGAGGTGAAGATGGGACAAAGAAAGACACAGAGAGCAAAGACAGGTCAGCACTGTTTTAGGGAAGAGTACAACTGGCCAGGGAAGAAAAGGGTAGGTCTGAGAAGCATGAAAACAATGTGGGGATTAAGCAAGCAATAGCACAAATCCTGAAAGTGCATAAAAGATTAAGACTGGGGAATTAGTAAAAGAATCTGGGTCTGCTAACACCACTCCCTTTCACAGCCAGGGTATCACCTTTCCTCTGCTCTCAGCAAACATCCGCAAATCTCCCTTGGAAGTGTCCTGTTGCACTCTGGCCTGCCTAACAAGTCAGATTGCCCTCCCGAGGCTCTGATCAGCCTGCTACTGCTGTCAGTTCCTCCACTGGATCAGCTGGCAGAGATCTGTCCTATGTATCTAGGGTATGCAATCCTTTTGATGATTTGAAGTAGTGTCTTTATGATTCTCCGTGTTAGCTTTTCTGTTTGCTCAGCTGCAAAGTCCCACCTGATAAAGCTATAAGAGAATATGCTTATGGCTGGGAAACAAACTATTCTACATTATCCAGATCATCGTGAATGAAAATGC